CTTAATATAGTGGTTAAATCATAAGTATTATGTTGAAGTTTAGGAGCTATATCTTCTTTTATTTTTGGTTCTTCTTCCAAAACTTTTTAATTAGTTTTTTTAAGAGTGCGCTTTAGTCTCTTGATCTTTCTATATTGCTTTACTACTTCTAGTAAAGTACTTTGATCTTAAGTTAACATGATTTAAAACTTTTTCAGATGACACTAGTTGTTCGATCTAATTCATCAATTTGTATTATCATTTTCTATGATCTTAAAGATCTAAAGTGTCAGAATGCCAGATAATAATTCAATAAATTTTTTTCTAATACTTCATCATCTAAATTTAATTATTCAATTTTTTTAATTGAAATCTACAAAATTTAGGAAGTAATGACCTTTCTAACACATTATAAACAAAGTTAAAATCTTTAAAAGAAGTTTTTACTTAAAGATTTATATGTTGTTTCCTTTTTGGTCTCTTAGGGGTTTAGATTTTTCTTATGAATAAAATTATCTTTACTCGGTGGTAGACCTATAATTGCTATTCTCAATATTCTTTATTTTCTTAATAATGTTTGTTAGTTTAGGTTTAGGTGGTCTAGAAAATTGTCCATCGCACCTTTGAGAAGATGTTATACTATAATCAAACTGTTTACAAAACGATCCTAGTTCTTTTTTAGTTTTATGCATTTCATAATTTAATATTCTTTGAAGCTTTAAATCTTGACAGATTTTGTAAACGCTTGTTTTTGAAATATACTGATTAATTGGTCCATAATTAATTTACTATACAGGTATACGGTTGACCATATTGTTGTTTAAAATATAATTTCTAACTTTCAACCTAAAAAAAATAAGGTAAAAGCCCAGCCCAAGAACTTTTCTTTCCAAAAGCCCTTGATGGAATCATTGCCTTAACATTAATCGAGTAAGAAAAAAGTAGTTTTATATTCTTGAAAATCACTTAATCTTTTAACAATTTAAGATTACTTAATAAATTCTGCGTTTTTATCTTTAAGTGAGACGCAGAGGATCACTATAAAAATGTAGTGAAATAATGTGAGTGATTAAAGATGACACAGCATCCTGAAAATTACTTCACCATTTTCATCATATATACGGTTCACCTCTCATCATTTACTTGAATTGAATTTAATATTTCTAAGGTTGTTGGTCAGTTAAGTGATAATCCCACCAACCTTTTTAATTGTCCCTGTAAAACCACTATAAGTATTCGCGAATAGCTTTATCTTAAACAATTGATTGAAGTTTTATAATGCATTAGCAGCGCATCAGTCAATCTGCTGTAGAATACTCAATATATATATTTCAGAAAAGTCCATCCTATATTCCATTCATATATTGTCGTTGCATTATATTTAAATTGAGATATAGTATTTAGATTATTCAATTTATGCCCTAGGTCTGGAGCCCTATTTACCTATTTCTCTATGAGTTTATAGGATTTTAATTTCAAATTTTTTAACATCTTACTGAAAGTCAGGTTCACTAAACTCCAGATTAGTGTTCTTTCGTCCAAAGATTTATATTTTGATGCTTGAGGAGTGTCATGAGCTACTTGTTGATAGTTTCAGGTGCTTGCATTGTTTGATACAGGTACAGATTTAAATGTATAAAGTTCAGATAATAAATACCTTAAACGATATGGTCAAAAAAACTAATGAAAAGTTAGTACATGCAAATAAATCTAAATTAAGAATTATTGGTCAAAACCGAATGCATGGATAGTAAATCAAAGATTTAAGAAATAAATACAGTATTTTGTACTAATCACCTCAAAATAAATTAATGGTAAATATAGGAAACTCCTTTCATAAACCTAATAAACAACCCATATTCAAGTTAAAGAATATTGTATTTTAAATTTAAAATAAGAAAATAGTAAAGTCCAGGTTTAGAAATTCACAGAAAAACCTAAAAAAGAAAGCATTAAATGTATTAAAAGCCCATTCGATTAAAATATTAGAAATTAATTCTTGATAAAATCTAAAAAGAAGAAGATTTAAAAGATATAAAAAAATAATGTGTGGTTAAATAGAATCAAAACGGCAATTAAGCAACTGAAATTATACAAAATAAAATCAAAAATTTAAAAGAATAATATGGAATAATAAACTTTGTGCTGATCATCCCAATGCATCTTTGAATCGTAAACAGCATGTAAGTTGAATTTACCATATGACTATAACTTGATGAAGAACTATTAAACAAACAACAAGCCCACTGGAACCAATTCAGATGAAATCCTGATTGAAGAGCATTGTAAACCATGAAAATCCAATGATTTGCTTAATCAAAAAAAATTAATTGCCAAATCTAGAAAGTCCATGGTCTTGTGCAGCCTTTTATGTAAGATAAAAATGCTGAATAGCATGTGGTTTTCCCAGATTAGTAATAAAATTATAAACCTTTGAATACAGGCTTTAAAATGGAATTAGAATACCAATTCCTAATTAAAAAAGACCTTTAAGAAAAATTCTACAATGCATAATATTTTTAGTAAATTTGATATGAAAATACTGGTTACTTGACAAATTCAAAATTGCCCTAAAGACAGATATGAAAACAGCATTTACAGTTTCATTTGGTCAGATCATGAAATGGAATGTAAATCGCCTCTTTTTGGGTTTAAAGCAATGCCTCCTTCTGACATTTCTCAGAGGATCATTGCGCAATCTGTATTTTCCAAAACCCTTATTCTAAATTTTTTGTATTGTCTATTTGATGATGTACTTATTTTTTAGTAATACCCTTGATGATCATATTTAAACATTAAAAAATTTGGGTTGATCAATTGAGAAAAAGTGGGGTTGGGGCATTAAGTTAAAACTAAAATGGATTTAATTTAAAACTAAAATTAGCATTTTTGGGTCATTATATAGAACAAGGTTAATCCAACCTATAGAAAGAACTCTTGTTTTTTGGAGAAAATTTTCCAGATGAAATACTAATAAACTCCAACTACAAAGATTTCTTGGTTGTTTAAATTAGTTATTGATTTTTATCCCAATCTAATTGCAATGCTAAAACATTGGCCATGATAGACTTTCGTAAAAACGCTAGTCCTTGGAAGCTCATCAGCATACTCAATTAATAAAAAAGATAAAATCCTTAGTAAAAGAAAATACTTATTTATACATTCCTAATCAACAGCATTTAAAGTAGTTGAAACTGAGCTTCTTGATATAGGATATGGTGGTATTTTAAAAACAGAGAGTATCTGATAAAGAGACGAATATCCAAATACACTTCGGGTCATTGGACTCCGTTCAAATTAATTATTTACTATTAAAAAGGAAATTTTAAGTATTGTCATATGTAATAAATAAATTTCATCTCTGATCTTCTAAATCAACAATTTTTATTAATTAAATATGAAAAAAAGGACAATAAATTTACAACCTAAAATCTGAAACCTTAGCTTTTTATATATATTTATATATAAAAGCAGAGCAGTTTGCATTATATGGAAGTCAAGTGTAAGCCCTAAAATTGTCAAGTATGAGGAAGACAACCATTATTTAGCACGATTGTAAGAAGATAAGGTGAATGAAAGCAATTGTAAGAAGATAATTTGTTTATATTTTTAGATAATGTCTTTATCATGCTAATATCTATTAGTTACATTCCATCAAGATAATGCATTAAATTAAATTAAAATTTAGTTAAAATACAAATAACCCAAGCCATAAAATAAGAAATACTTAATTTCTGGGATGAGATTATGTTGATTTTCCATTACATCTGGTGTACAATTTTTGTACTCAACTAGATAAAGTCTTTCCTAACTGATGGCTCCAATTCCTTCTAAATGGAGAATTTTTGTTTCTATTCTCACAATTTTTTGTTTTGTAGTTTTTTGGTATGCCTTATAGTAGTTTAGAAAGTTATAGTAGTCTCATATACCAGGAACTGAGTTGCACCGAAATAGGACACGAGATACGGAACGTACGGAATATGATAATTTTTAAAAAAGGTAAGAGAGTCACTCGCTTAAAACACACTACAACTAAATAAGTAATACATTAGTATTTCAAAACATAAAGATAAATTAGTAATACGAGTAAGTATTTCAAATACAGATAACAATCATTTATAATAAACAAAAATAAAAAATAAATTTCTTATCTTCACAATGAACAAACAAGATTAAAAAAAAAAGCGATTTATTTTTAATTGATTGAATTGGTAAATTAAAAAAAACATCTTAGTTGATTAGCTTAGGTGTACCTGGAGTAGTCTCAGATATACTAGGAGTTAGGTTGCGATAACTAGAACAAGTATGAGAAGGGAAGTAGATTATGAGGTGAATCCACGTAGATTTTAAAGAAGGAGGTAGAAGAGAGTCGGAACGGGGGATATGTACATGACTTATACGGGTATGGAAAGCGAAGTTACATGAGAGAGGCTAAGAATGAGTTAGTTGAGGATGTGTAATGTAATGACAATGTATAATAATTTCATATTATAGGGTAAGCAGATATATCATTTTAAGTGTGAAAGTATAACCCAAATAAAAAAAAACTAATTTCTCTATTTCAACTGCATTGAAAATAATAAAAATAAAAAACACCTCATTTGTTATTATTGGTAATAAAAAAAATCTTAATTAATTAACTTAGTGTATAGATTAATTTCATATATCAGGAGTTATGTTGCATTGAAATGGGATACGGCAATTTTCGTGTGTTGTATGGGTTCTCAGTTACGGCGGCAATTTTCGTGTGTTGTATGGGTTCTCAGTTTTTGTGTGTTGTATGGATTTTGTTTGTTTTGTGTTAAACGGGGTTTGGTAGCATATGGGTATTGTATTGGTAATCTAATCTTGGGTTCGGGTAAAGCAACTTTATAGAGTTTTAAATGGGTTCAGGTACCTCGTTTCATAAACGGGTTTAGCTTAAAGTTAGGCATGGATTTTGTTTGTTTTGTGTTAAACGGGGTTTGGTAGCATATGGGTATTGTATTGGTAATCTAATCTTGGGTTCGGGTAAAGCAACTTTATAGAGTTTTAAATGGGTTCAGGTACCTCGTTTCATAAACGGGTTTAGCTTAAAGTTAGGCAGTTATAATGGACACCTGACCCACTACCAACCCCAGTTCTATTGAGTAGTGAGTTTGGAGCAAACAAGAAAGTTCAGCTAAGCATCAGAGAAAGTACCCAGATCTAATTTGTATGCCTTTCGTAGTTTGCAAAGCGGCAAACCCTAAATCCTCTCTGATTTTTTCTATTGCTTATCTGCCCAACTCTGTTTCCAGTAAGCGTCTCTTTTTAACAATAACAAACTGCATTAAATCTCATTGAATGATTCGATACTACGCAAATTTTGGTCTCTTAATTCATTTGAACATCACAGATTAGTTCATTTGCTCGAAAATGCCTTTGGGACTAATACAAGGTCTAGCCAGGGCAATGCGGAGAAAGCGAACGTCATCTTTGGACATTCTCTCATCAAAACGTGCTCCTCGCAATTACTACAAAGGGAAGAATTGCAAGCCCACCGGTTTTCACACTCGCAAAGGTTTCAATTTTTTTTTTTTTTTTAATTCTATATGATAGATACATTTATTACTCGCCTTTTTATTGTAAAGAGTTTTTGTCTTGTCTTTAATTTGCCTTTTCTATCCTTTTCTTAGAATCAGCTATTTCAGTAAGTATTTGAATTGCATCAAAATTTAGTATAGATGAATCTAATCATGAATTATGTTAATTGCAAAGGTGGTTATCATTTTGGTTGGTTTTAAAGATGTCACTGCTAGTGTGTCCACGTACATCCCTGTTTGGTGTATTCTGTAACTCAACATCTACTTTATACTAGATGAGTATTAGGTTAGTTATTTTGTACCCTAAATCTAAATCAGCTGAGCCATAAGCCGTAATGTCGGGATTATGTGGAAAAGCCTTATTTGAGTGTGAATTTGAAATACCCAATGAAAATCAAACTATTTAGTTTGGGATCAAATCCAAAATCAATCATAAATTATTGCATCCAAACACAGCACTAATGTTGTGGTTGGATTCATGTATTTGATTTGAAATCTAGGATTTTGAAGTGTAGAGAAGATGATAAGTGACACATTTTTTAAGTGATTTGAAATGCATTATACTTAAGCCTTTAAGCTTGGCAGGTATTTCATTCAATTCCAAATCCATAAATATTTGACAATCCAAATAATGGATTTTAATCAAATTCAAATACCCACCTTACTTGAATATATTTTGGTTTTTTAAAGAACTTGGAGTTCATATCAAATGAAAAGAAGCATAACTTGCTGGTTGTTATTCATTCTCAAATGCTATTGCTATTTGTTGCAGGTGGTTATGTTATTGTTCCGGAGAAATTGCCCAACTATGTAATCCCTGATTTGACCGACTTCAAGGTATTCTTATTCCACCCCATCTCTTTTCTTGTTCTAGAGGATGGATGTTTAGGATTTGCATAAAGTTCTAACTAAATTTCTTAGATGATGTCAATATCTAGTGTCGAGGAAATTAATTTATTTAATGTGCCAATAAACACAGAAGACTTGCATCTGGCATTCGCCCACCTACTTAAGAACACTTGGACGGAGGGAATTATACAAATTACTGATTTTATGCACATCTAAAATGGGCACATTTCACCCCTTGAAAAAATATCCTCTCTCATTTTAGTAGTGTACCAAATGTGTATGATAAGTTGTTTACCTGTTCTATGGTTTAAGATTTCCTTCTTTTGCTTTCAGCTCAAGCCCTATGTGTCTCAGTGTGCATCGGAAGTTAAAACGACTGAAGCTTCTGAAGCTGCTAAATAAATAAATGGAAGTGTTCAATCTTTCTTAGTTGTCGAGCTGCCACTGTGTTGATCTTAACTGAAGTTGAGCGATTCTGGCGATGCCATTTTGAAGCAATGTGATATTTCAATGGAATTAGAACTAGTTTGGTGATATCCGCTGCTGCTTGTTAAACTGATGATAAATTTCTCAATACTGATTCTGGAGAGTTGAATAAAGTAGTTTGAACTATTTAGTGGTTTTTTTTTTTTTTTTTTTTTTTTGGTAAACCTAAAAGGATGTAATTGTACAAGATCTAAAAAACCATTTTAAAAAGTTGTGGTGCCCCTAGTAATTGTCTTTGGATGTGAACAGGTCTCAATCTCAATAGATGCTTGAAATGCTTTATTTGCCCTGATGACATTGTCGTTGGATATAAACTGGTCGAGCTTTCAAATACACTTGTGTGAACATTTTGCATCAGACTCAATAAGTTGGTTAGGTGCAATATTTTTACGGTATTATGGACAAAACACTTCCCCATTTTGCGACATCCGCGAGTGCTGAAAAGGGAATTTAACAATTTAACTTGGTAAGACTGCGATGATTAGCGAACAAGTTTTGGTAACTACAAATCAATGCTCGGTTTCTGCATGATTTTCAATCGGTAATATATTTTTTTTGTTTCATGTTTATTACCATTTTAGGTTTGTTCAGAGGTTTATGTATCATTCACCTCATGGTTGTAGATTTTTAAATTATCAGCAAAGCTATTCAAGCCTTGTCCGAAGAAATTGGCTCGTGCATAATCCTTGTTAAATGAGTTAATAGCATCATTGATGAATTGTTCTTGATCAGTTGAGATTCCTGTTATACCAAACTTTTTACTATCACCAAAGATCGTAGGTTTGTGTTATCCGCAATTTTTTGTCAGTTAATTATGCCTTAATTTTGTATCAGGTGTTTCACCTGCTGTCAAGAATCAATGGATATAATTTTAGTGAAATGATTTAAAGATGAATGAATTCTGTTCAATGTTACCTAATGTGAGATTACAATCAAATGCCAAGGATAACCAAAAATACCAAGGATTACCACAAGGTGTGCATGATATTTAAATACTGATTATGTTTCTTCAATCAGACTCTAAACTAGTAACTAATAACCAATAATCACTGCGACCTAGTAAAATTTGTGTCTCAACCATGCTTGGCGGTCAACATGGTTCTCTGTAGGGAAATTTTAATCAAGGATGACATATGGAGATAATTTTAGTCGAGGACGACTCCTCGAGCAATGATTAAAATACCTGATAACCTTTTCTTTATTCAAAATAAATAAATAATGTATAATCCATTTCAAAGTGAAAAGTTAAATAATCATTGTTCAAAAAACATGTATTGAAAGTGATCTTTTGTCTATTTTTTCTCCAGCAAAAGACATTCGTAATCATATAGATGTTATTCAAATGTTTTATTCAATTATTATATTTTTTTTACAAGTATATATGTTAGAATATCATTCAAACATACTACGATAAAAAGTAAATCAAATATACAAACACTAAAATCAAGTGTTCGAGTACTCTCTCTTTTCAAAAATTTCACTTTCATGCATTCCAATTTCCAATATGCTTTCCCACCTTTTACACATTTCTCCCTAGTCTATGCACTATTGGCATAAACACCAACTTTACCAAGCATTTTCTTTGTACAAGTCATACCCTATCTCCTTGAAGCACAATTCTAACACTCTGTAAGTTGGAATTCCTTTTTTTTTTCCTCTATTTTTTTAACTGAAAAGTGAGAATTCCAGATATAAAAGCGAAAGAACTAAGCACATAGCATCTAAATACTAAAACTTGAATAAATTCTTGTGAACCTTTAACACCAGCCGACATGTCAATGAAACTCTGTTCTTTGTCCGATGAACCTTGTGATCTCTGCTTCCCACTATTTCAACACCTTTCTCAGATTCTGGCACAAATTTATTACTTAGCAAAGAGTCTGCATCATTTATGGCCTGAGAAAAGGCAAAAAAGGAAATAGAAATGTCAGAACAGAACCTGCAAAACGCTTACAAACCCATTCAGGAACAGGCCTCTTTATCTTGTCAAATGCAATCATATTACCTCATCGTATTGATGCACTTTGCTATCTTTTATACCGTGCAGGTAGTCTAGAAACCACAGAGTAACAAAATCAATTTGAGTGCATTTTTAATATATGTGTGCATGTGTGTATACTAACAGGCAACTGGGTGGGATTTCTTTTATGCAACCTAGGTAGGCACCCACCTGAATAGGCATTATCCTTGAATATCAGTAGACTACGAGGCATCAAGAAAACAGAGAAAGAATGGTGATTATCCATCCGTTTATCTGTCTCAATATTTAAGGCCTCCTTACCAGATCCTTTATTTTCAACGTCATTCTTCGGTGTATCTGTGCATGTTCTCAACTTTGAATGTGGAACAAAGTCCATGACAACTGGTGATCCAAGGGAGAGGATAGCTACTACAGGAAAATAAGCAGGTCCGTCCTGGTGTGGCTGTATTATAAACAATGAAATGATAGTAAACAGTGGCAAACATTGTGTTGGAAACATTGTCAACATGTTCAAAAACTTGAGCAATTTAAAAACAGATAATCGATTATGGATGAAACATCATATAGTGTGGAACAAAACATGAAGCAATAAATTCCCATCAGGCAGACTCAGCCTGAAACTTAACCAAGAAGTTTTCTTTCTTTCTTTCTTTATTTTCTTTTGGGAAATGTAAGTGTCTTGAGTTGGGTCAGGGAGGAGCACATTATGGAATAAATGTAAGTTAGCAAAAATATTATAGAAGGGTTCAGTACAAACCATAATTCCCTGGTCAGGAAGGTACTCATTGATGAGAACATGATTGATTGCTGAGGGAAACAGTTCTGATTCCTCAAATATTCTTTGTGTAATCTTCATCAGCCAAGGAGGCACTGTAATAGAGTTTGCTCAGCAGATTCTCACAATCAAATGTTACAATAAGACTAAACAATAAGGATTTTGAAAATTCAATATCAACTTATAAAATTCCCAGAATTTTCTAACTTCTTTAATAGAACATCTTTGATCCTCCATCGCATGTCAAAAATACTACCAACTGCCCATAATGGTGATTGATTAATGGGATTGAAATGCAACTGAGTTTAATTGCTATTAAGACAAGTGTAATATAACTGAAACTGAATCAGTGAAATGAATGATATGTGATCTCAAACTCGTTAATAAACAATAATTAAGTTACAGTCACAGGATCATGTCAAATATTTATGATACCAGTGATAATTGAAACATTGAATCTCAAAATCTTGCCAACGGCATGAAAATTCAGTACATGGCTTCAAATTATTCCATCCAAGAGATTTCCTATAAAGGTCCTACCATGTAGAAAATACAGCCCTACTTCCTTGCAGCCACTTCAGAAGTTGCAGAGACACAAAGCAATTAATTATACATAGAATCACACCACAAAGATTGAAATTGAAATAAAACACCATGCAAAATCACCTAATCATGCGCTACTTTTCAAGACAACTAAACAGTCAATCTGCTGTCTCCAGTTGCACGATATACTTGTACTCCCAAATGAAACAAGCCAAGGGTTGTAAAAAAATTCAACTTTATACACTGGAGCATACATTTGGAGCAACTGAACTAAGGATGCAAGTTTGAACACAGAAGTTAATCATACTCTAAAGGCAAATCAAATTGAAACTGAACAAAGTGATAGCAGTACAACAGAAATGGACGCATCTCAGCAAAGTAGACAGCTAAAGTTTTCATTAAGCAATAAAACTATCACCAACAGTGTTAAAACTTAGATAAAACATATTCCCACTTACAATCTTGAGGTAGTAGACCCTTCTCATGGACAACACCACCTATCAATTTTAGCAAAGAGTTTAAATTATCATTGATATGAAATGAAGTCTCAGTCACTTTTTTCTAGCATTTTGCATATGTGTATATTGTGCAGCTTTCAAAGAGTTTCCCACATACCCCAATTCTGAAGCCTCCTATTCTTCAAAGACTTCCACTTTGATGCAGGAGCTTCGTAAATCTGTAGTATAGCCAGATTATTTATTAAAGAGAGAGAGAGAGAGAGAGAGAGAGAGAGAGAGAGAGGAGAATGGAATGGGATGAAAAAATAGAAGTAGAAAAAGGCACCACCTTATCTAGGAGATGGGTTTCTTCACTCTCTGTGATAAACTCAGGCTTATATATCACAGTTGGTAGATGCCCCACCTGGAAGTTACTCAAATTTCCCTCCATTCACCTGCAATAATTAGTTACAACCTTTTTTTTTTTTGAAAAATAAATTTTACTGAGGAAGAAAGAATGTATAAAGTGGAGGACAAGAAATCCTCCAGAACACAAGCATAAGATAGAAGCCAGAAGTAATAAGTCACCGCTAGAATCTTTTTAATTAAAACATATAAAAACAAAAACAACACCTTTAGATCATATTGGAGAACACCTAAAGACATTCCTCTGAATGTTCTAAAAGTACACATTGCAAAGAAGATAATGTCATTGAACAGAGAATTTTAGGAAAAACTCTGAATTTTGAAAAATAATGACATTTCTCTTCATCCATATACTCCAAATCACAGCAATGAAACCAATGGCACAATATTACAAGACATCATTGGCACTAAATCCAGTAAAACTATGGTGAGGATGTTGAGCTATAAGAAGGTTTCACAGTTGTTGAAAAGTGCAAGGTGCACTTGAGACTTTAAGCCCATGTACAAAATGAAAAATTCATGTTTGCATCTAAGAAAAGTTAGGCATATATCTTTGGCATAGAATGCATAACAATTTATATATAATAAAAAAGAAATGAGATAAAAATCCTAATATTAATGTAAATTAATCTTTTTTTTTGGCAAATGGAAAAATCTTCAAGCAGATCTAGCCCAACGGCTAAACTTAATTGCAATAAGAGGCAAGCACTCGTCCATTGAACTAGTAAGTAAACAACTAGGACTTATTATTCAAACTTCTATTAACAAATGCATAATGTAATAAAGTAGAGCAATCATAAAATTTTTCAACTGGATCACAATTCATATGCTAATAGTTACATACTAAAATCAATGATTGAAACTTAAATTAAGATAATAACAACAAAGTAATGTGAAAATAAACAATATACAAAATTTGAATTGCCAAACAAAGTAATTGTTGATTAAGCTTGAATCCTTACAAATTAGGCAAATCCTAGCCATTGTTTAACTGGCTTATATCGAATAACACTTTTATGATCTGGTGCCAAACTGATTATTTCCACTACATTTGGTTTAACATACTGCTGCTTAGTTTTTGCTTTCTAAAAGTACTATAAAGAGGGGAAAAAACAAAGCACCTGTGCCGCCGCCGCCGTTCGTCGTTGCTGCTCTATTGGAAGTTCAATGGACTTGATGAGGAAGATGAAAGACGACAGAATCGAAATATCTATTTATCTTACATACATATAAACAAAAGCTAAACCATAATCTTTTTTCTATAAAACATATTAGCAACAATTAAATGCTGATTTAAGGTTTCCATCGCCTTTCTTTTTTTTCTTTTTTGAAGAAGTTGAAGAACGGTTTTGTATTTAGTTTTGCGTTATTTTATACTCTTGATTGATGGGGTATCTTCTAATTCGTAAAGAAGATAATGATTAATGTAGAATTAATCATTAATTATTTTAAAAATTATAAAATCAAATTAAGATAAATAATATTATTAGTAAAATTATTATTATTTAAAATAGTGAATCTCTCTAGTTTTTCCTCCAATGCTTACTGTAATAAAATTCCTTTTAATTATTTTTATTAGTGACAATCTAAAAAGCTTATTAATTTTTTATAAAATTTTCCACATGGTAAAATAATTAAATTAAAATAATTACTCAATCACAGGAATATAAACTTATAAAAATATCTTGACTTATGCGAGCCGTTACAGAAACACCTTAAACTGACCGTGGTTCATATGGCACCCCAAATTAAAAAGTTTGTAATATTATCGCCCCAAGGTTGTAAATAAAAAATTAATAAAATGGATTCCACAAAACGATGTCGGGTTAACTTAACCAAGGTATCAAAACGCACTATTTTGATATCGATACTCGCTGTTTCACTAACTCGTTTTTCCCCCAAAATCCCTAATCCCTAAACCTGATTCTCTTCTCTCTACCTCTCCTATTTCTTCTTCTCCTTCTTCCTTTGCGATAATGGTGAGTCGCAGTAGCCCAAATCCCTAATCTCATCTCCTCTTCTTGCTTTTGATTTGCTAACTTTCTTGCCGTTTTTGTTGAGTTGTATCCTTGAATACGTTTATGGAATCTGAAAGTGAAGATAGCGCTAGGTCAGTGAACTCCATTGTTGCTTGATCTAGACTGAGATGTCGGCGTAATCTTCCCGTCCAAATAATGACATCGTGGAGTAGAACAAATCTAAGTAGACAATTCTGTCGATGCCCATATTGGATAAAGAAGGTAAAACAATAGGAATTGCTTCCTATTTTCTCTTTTCACTAGTACTTTGGTCTACACATACCAATGTCAATTTCATGTTAATTGTTTCGGGAAGGGGACCCTAAAAATTATGACTTCTTTAGGTGGATGGACAGTGAACTTCCACCCAGGAGCATGGAGATTGTAAACAACATGTTTGCAAGAATTGATGGGTTGAAAACTATTGCGCAAATGTTGAAGGAGAAAAATTTGGAGCTGGAAAGAAAAATGAATGAGGCAGAGAAGGTAGAGTAGAAGAAAGCATCTAAGAAAGAATTGAAGGCCCAAATGTTGCTTCTCACTCATAGCAATAGTACACTTAATTTCCAGTATGAAGGAAAAGAAGAAAATGAGGCTAGTTGGTTGAAGTGTTTTTGTGTAGGAATTGTGTTAATATGCTTAATGCACAAGGTTGCGCTTAAGTAGAACCTCAATGATGTTTAATGTGCTTATTTGGTTAGTTGCGGTAGTAGCTTTTTTGTCCAAAAAGCTCAATTAATGTGCTTGTTTGTAGAACCTGAATTGCAATTGAATGTAAAAGCAGTCATTTGGTTATTTTGCTGTCAACATGGTGTATTTGCAACTGTTAACTGACCTAAGAATTTTAAAACCAAAAATTCATAATTTTCTTGCTTATTTCTAAGGGCCTAAAACAATATGCTCTTCTTGGTAACTCATTATCACCCAAGACTGATTTCTTGCTCTGGTGCTACCATATAATCTCCAAGGGCATTTTCCCTCATATTTACAATCAACCTTCTTTTCCTCACTTTTTTTTCAAGTAACATTGAAGCATTGTGAATTGCATTCCAATTAACCTTGCTTACTCTTGAATATCATGCCCACATTGGATTGCAACTTATTGTGATCTATACTAGGGTCATAAACATTTTTGATGATCTGTTTCCTTTCTCACCTCTAATTCTCCTTCCTCATTGCTATTAGTTGAAGAATACTCAACATCAGATGGTTCATAATCATCGGTTTGAGTAGGTCTTACTGCTCCATCAAGAATCTCTACATTTGAGTCTTTTTCTTGTCTTGGCAAGTTCAAATCCTTATCTAGCCCTAAACCTGCTCCATTGGCAACAACAACCTTTTTTAATTTTATCATATTTTCCCTTGCTCGCGAAAACTCCTCATCATCTAAACATTCTTCATTTGCTTCGCTCTCTTCTTCTTGTACTACATTATTTAAATCAATAGCATCTTCCCCATGATCACTATTTCCATCATCATGCATGGTTTGTTCTTTTTGGAATTCTTCTTCTGTTGTACATTGTGGTCGGACGTAATTCTCCATTAAAGCTTCAACACATTCATGTCTCTCTTCCTCATCTGAGTATATATAGTTGGCATGATCATAATCCTTATTTTCCTCTATCCTAAACTCGGTTTGAATGCAAACCTTGAGCCAACCAAATTTCTTCCCTCTCTCTAACATCAATTTCACTTCATCATCATTTCTGACAAACTCCAATGTCAATCATGGTGTATGAGGTTTGTGGTATCCTATTTTTCACCTCACCACACCTATACCCTTTAACCTTCTCACACACCTTAGAATATGTCATGTCCAAGTTTGTGTATCACATTCCTTCAACCTCTTCCCACCAATATGGTTTATCCTTCCATTTTTCTCGCTTTTCTCACTCATTCTACCACCTACCCAAACCTCTAAGGGAAACATGTATAATAAAGTAAACCATACACAGAAGCATTAACCCAAATTCACAAAAACATTAAACAAACTAATCACTATTGTCCCCAATCAACAAGCAAAATGACAAGCATCCTAAAGCAATAAAATATTCAATATATGTTACAAACAACATTATAAATGAGGGTAAATGTGCACAGTGTCAGCCTCATATGCAAGGAAATTGTTTGTAAGAAATACTACAACGAAAAAGGGGAATTGGGCAATTAACGTCGCAATAAAGCAATCTACATGGACAATCAATATTACTCATACAAAAAATTCTTTTTTAGTGCACTTCATTTAATAACTTCACCAATCAACGTTAATTACTCTTTCCCAAAACCCTAATTTTTGTAGCTTCAAACTAAATTTTACTCGTCATTTTCTCTTTTTCCGTCGACATCTCCGCCAATGTAGTTCAAATCCGTATCTCCAATCACAGTCCCAACAACAACGAACGTCACTCTCTTTCACTTGCTTCTATTGGACTACTGCGACTCACCGTTATCACGAAGGAAGAAGGAGAAGAAGGAAGAGGGGAGGTAGAGAGAAGAGAGTCGGTTTAGGGATTAGGGATTTTGGGAAAAAACAACTTAGTGACATTGTGAGTATTGATACTGTATGATCCATTTGATTAATTTTTTGTTCAAAACCCTAGCTAAATTTGAAACTTTTTAACTTGAGGTGTCAGGGAATCAAACATCTTAATAAGAAAAATCCCACCAAAAGATTCTAATTTATATGGAGAATAAGAAATCTCGTATTCAAAATCTCATGTATTAATTTCATCTTTAATATTTTTTTTTTTTTTTGTGGCAATAATTACCATAAAAAGGCATCAATATCTTTATTTGTGCTAAATTTAAAAGCATTAATAATGGTTGGCGAGTGGAATTCAACATAATTATTACTGTATTCTACAATAAATTTATTACATAATTACTGTATTTATACAATCCTTTCATTTGAAAAAGGTAAAGGAATTCTCTCTAGTCAAATAAGTCACTAATATAGTATAATTAATCATTATATGTAACACTACTTCTAATACAAAAGAATTTGTAACACCACAAATACATAAGAGTTGCATTTTTTTAATTCAAGAAAGTTGTTTCGTCCAGTCGAAGGGTTCCCAATCTCGTACGAAATGTGCAACTGCCTGCTTTTGTGCCTCCACTGACTCGTGCCTTCGACGACGATGCATGTCTTCCTCTGGCAATTGTAGCATGCCTCTTATTACATTGAGACCAAGGCTGCTTTTAAATTGCTCCTCATCATCAATCACATGGACAAACCCCTTGTTTAGACCAAACTCAACATGGAAGTAAGGGAAGTCCTTAGGAATTGAATTGCGGAGCCCCTTTACACTTGTATCAATTAACTTCTTTGCATTGTGTTGGCTCCACTCATCTTCAGCTTCATCAATTGCCTGGAAAAAAAAATTATGTTCAGAGGTTAGTTCTGCAACCAAGGAATCAAAAAGATGTAATCACACATGTAGAATCATATACCTAGACCAAAGATTCCATAAATTCAGCTAAGATTTGACCCTAAACTAGTTGGGCTTGGTTAAAGATACAACAAGACGTCGCTTTTTTTGGGGTGTCAAGTGCATAGGGAGGTAAGGGTTTGAAACCTGAACTGCTAAATTACGTTATTTGAATGCAGTTAAAAAAAAAAAAAAGGCAAATGCTTCTAAGAGAAAATAATCAGAGACAGCAAACCTTTTTAAAATAGAGAGGAGCCTGTCTAGCAATTTCACGTGGCAGGGGAATGCACTCAATTAAACAATGGCGGCGTTGTTTTGCCAACCCCATTACTGTTTCAAGAAACACTAAATCCTTCTCTTGCTTTGCGAACATCATTATAAGGCATTTCTTGAAATTGCGAATTTCTTCCCATACATTATTGTCAACCATCCTTGTGGCCGATTCATGCTGTATAAGACAAACTAGTCTCCATTAGAATAAAGATTATGGCAATTAATTAAAATAATAGGATTGAATTCTCTGTTCCAGTATGTCCCTTTTTCATAATTTAGAAGAAGCTTTCATAATGTCTTTGATTGAATAAGTATAAAAAATGTAATATTTATTATAATTATGGGACATACTAATTTTGCAGAATAAAATGTATTTGAGAATACCAAAGAAATAATGAAGCTGAAATTGTGAGAAAGAAAGAACTATCTAGCACCAAGCAATTAGATTAAACTTACCTGCAGTGGTAAGATACAGCAATGGCCTGGAACAACAGGCTGCCACTGTGGCAACATCAAATATGTGAAGTTTGCTATCGACACAACGAGATGTTTTGGACGGATTGGATTCTCAAAGCAAAAAAGACATCGCTCTTGCTGGGTCAAGATGCGTTTTGCGAGAACATTTTTCTCTGTCGATTTGTGATCATTACCTATCCCCTTCTTCTTAGATTTTCTGCTAGGACCATCCTCAAAATCATACTCATTGTCTGCCCGACCAGATAAACTGTACTGCTTATTCTGAATGATCTTCTGAGCTAGATGTCTATCAGCATCCTCCTCCTTTCTTCGAGCAGAAATATCTTGAACAACATACCTACAAGGAAGAAAAATAAATATAAAAATTATGATAACATCTGAATTATAGCAAAATTGCAGAATAAAGAAAATGGAAATATAAAATGGCATAGATCAAGGAGGCACTGAATCAGACAGAAAAAGACATGGCTTAAAACTGTTTTTGGGAATTGCAAGAAGAAACCAAATAAATTTTTTGAAAGAAAGGTTGATAATGGAGATGGCATATAAATTTTCTAATCTGAATTCCACATGAATGCAATAATTATAGAATTGTCAAAGATATCCCTAATTCCACTACATTATTAGACAATATACTGAAAAATACATACACAGATAAAATGAGAAAATCACAAGATGCAAGATTTACCTTTTGGTGCTTCCAACTTTTTGAGGTTTACTCGAATTATCTACATTGCCTTGCTTCACCTTTAGATTCTCAGCTTCTTGCTAATAAAGAAAACAAAACAAAATAGCTCCAATAAGATGCTGAAACAAAAGCTCATGCAATTCTGAGCTGAAGTAGCAAATGCAGAGGATGCCTTCAAATTATAAACCAAAACATCTAAATATTTAAATTCTTCATGGTATATTCAGAAAAGGAACTCATGAATCCTAGAGACTCAATATGTTGACCTAAACCTAACTGTTTTTGTTTTTTCAACCAATACAACTGAATTCAGAGTCAGCTTGATCTCGGGTTGGATGATGCTTTTATTAAGAATGCAGTGAAAGCTTTTGCTGTAATTCTTTGCATCCCTATATGCAAGTTAACTAAGAATTTCACCAAGGTGGCAAAGAGATTAAAGAAACCTAGTTAATTCCAATGCACATTCGTTTTTAAGTTGGAAGCACAACACAGGAAGATATGTAAAACTGAAAAGATCATCTTACCATGAGCTTATCTGCTTCTTCATGCTTTCCTTTCATACGAAGCTGCAAGGCTTTAGCTGCCAACTGGTTTGCACTCAATGCTTCCTTAACAGTCGTGAAGCCTTCACTAGGTTTATTCAGTTCAGATGAAGCAACTTTTAGCTCAACATTTTCATCTTGATTAGTTTGGGAACCAACAGAACAAGAAGGATCATTATTCTGCTGACTAAAAACTTTGGACATGAAACTTCCATCATCAGCGAACTTATTTAAGCTAGATACTGCAGCAGAAATAAGGCTTTCATCTTTTGCAGGCACGTTTTGACCTTTGTGTTTTCCCCAGGATAAAGAATTGCGTACTTTGGGAGCTCTCATTTCAGGGTGTCTGACAGATACATCCTTCAAGTGGCCACGATTCTGATAATAACAATGAAATAATATTAAGAAGATGAATAACAACAATCCTTTTCTTAGTCAAAAGCAATAGCAACAATTTTCATCTCCTTCTTACAATTACTTGATCAATAAGGAGACAAGAAAATTGAGAAAATTAGCACGTACCTTTTCCACATCTCTCTCGCATTGATCAGTTGCATCAGTTTCATCTGCCAGTCCCCTCCTCCTACTTTTTATGGCATGTAGATGAGCACGAGCTGGGGCAGCCGTATGAGATACTGCAGAGACAGCTAATTGACCAAGAGAACCCCATCGTTCTTCTACAACCTGGAAATTTAATATATTAAAATCACATTTCAATATGGATAAATAAAAATAGCTGGTCAAGAAGGTTTTTAGTCATGCCAGGTAAGGTATGATCTAGAAATTAGAAAAGCAGACCTCTTCAAGCTTTCTTCCTTCTCGTTTTGCTTGCTCTTGTGCACGCTTCAAAGCTTTCAGTCTCCAACTTGCACCTCCGTCTCCAACAACTGAAGAAGGAGGAAGTTGGTCATTGCCTTTTCTTTTCTCTTCTGCATCATCTGGATAACCACTTCCATTATCCTTCAAGTACGGATTCAATTCCCTAGGATCTACACTCTTCATCTGATAGAAAATGTTAGGAAGAGAAGATAAGCACTCATTTAGACATTCAAGAACAGTAGCAAGCAACATGCACATTTTCCACATAAACGCCACAAGCACAAGCCCAAGCCCATGCTAAGGGCACGAAGGAATGAATGATATAAAAGATAAAATTTACACCTACAAACACACATGCCATACATACATGAAAAGTATGAAAACGTGCGCGCGCGCACACACACACACACACACACACAAAATCTTTACTTGAGAAGAAAAAAGATCATAGAATAATAAATCATGCACAATGATCAATGAAGAGAAATTTTTTTTTGGGGGGGAACACTAAGTACAAATCAATACAATTTTATGAGGATGGCAAACTGATGTATAAAGGTGCTAAAACATAATTAAGTTCACAGACTAAGTTAGGTTAAGCATTCATCGTGTTCTAAACTGCCAGCCCAAAAATTCCCAAGAACTAAAGAAATCGAGAACTCCAATGTGAAATGATAATAGCCGATAACAATACCAACATAAGACAGCCAAATTATTTCAGTTAAGAAATGAATGAAAAGAGCATACCTCCTCAAGAGCTGGTTTCTCAGGCTGCTCATCAACATTCACTGCAGGTCTTCTATCTGCAGGTCTAAGCATCCAATCCAATCCCATTTCCTTTCTTGTAATTTCTATGTCCTCTCTACCATCATCTACCCCCAAAAAAAAAAAAAATGATCATCATAGATTAATCAATTATCAGAAATAATAACATAAAAATAAAATTTCTAAACAGTATATACCAGTTAAATCATTAGCCACACTCTTTCCCCCTTTTTCCTTATATTTCTTACTCCCACCTTTTCCACTTCCTTTATAACCCTCATCTTCAGGGGCAGATGAAGAAGAGTCATGCTTTTTACCACTTCTTGGTCTCTTCTTTGACCTATCGCTATACTCATTCCCAGAACTGTAATTATTTCCTCTCTTATTCTTTCTTCTATTCCTTTGTTCCTTTTCAATTTTGTCAGAACTGTAATCACTGTCATCATCACTCGAATCTTCCGATGAATAGTCATCAGACGAATACCACTTCTTCTTTTTCCGAGATCCTTTATTTATTTTTCCAATACTATCATCTGAGCCACTACTGTAATGTGAATTCTTCCTTTTTCTCCTATGCTTGTCCATTTTACGATCTGACTTCTTTATTCTCTTTTCTGTAGAATCATTCCCCTTTTTATCTTCTTCCTGATGCCCAACAAGTGACAGCAAGTTAAGGTGAGAAACATGAAAAGATAAAATAATTCATGAACTCAAAAGTAACTATTCTTACTTCATTAATCTGATGACGAGGTATAACCTTGATCCCAGAAAGCATAATTATCTAATCAAAGTTTCCTGCACAGGTACATGTATTGAAGATTGGAAATGGGAATTTCAAAACAGACAAAGAACCATCACCATTACACAAAAAGCCATAATTCATATCCGACAACTGGAACCTAAGAAATTCAAATAAACAATAAAGAAAACGAAGAAACTCTAACAACCCAAAAAGAGCAATTGTTGAGAGATTTGATATAATTCATATCCGACAACTGGAACTTAAGAAATTCAAATAAACAATAAAGAAAATGAAGAAACTATAACAACCCAAAAAGAGCAATTGTCGAGAGATTTGATATAAAAAACAAAAAAAATAACTGACGAATAATTGATCCGAAAATTAATAATATTTGAGGTCAGAAGTTAACCTAATCTAATATGGCAAATTCATAACTCATGAATTCTAGGGTTTCTTTATCTCTTACTTACACTGCTTCTCTCCTTCGCGTTGCTTTTCTTACCTCCACTGCTTCTCTCCTTCTCGCTGTATTGTTTCGGTCGGAGTCTCGAGCGAGTGAATGACAAGTCGTTCAATCGTTTCCTTAGCAAAACCCTGCTCAAATCAAATTCCTACAAGAGAACGTTTTATTTTTTAATTGCTAAAGCGTAAAAAATAAAAAAATAATTTAATTTTAACTTTGAAAGTAAAAATATCAAATTCAAGAAGAGTTATTAATTATTAACAAAATCTATTTATCTATGCTATATATAAAAATAGAAATAAGAAAAAATAATGAAATAGAGAATTATATTTTATTAAAATACATTTATAAAAATTATTTTTTAAATTAATTATACATGGTCTGATAGTTTTTTCATTTACATAGAGAGTGAAAGGTCTTGAAACAAATCAATAAACTCAATTTTATTTAACAAAATATATCCATTACTAAATTTATAATGTATGGGTGACTTGTTAAGGCTACTAACAATTAGTGGGAGAATTATTTCAATTGTTTATAAGCAAAAGTTTAACAGTAAATTACTGACCGCTTTTGTGAATGGATGTTGACGAACCTATACATGCACAAGTGTCCTAATATTTTTAATTTAATAAACAAATTACAGTGCTATGTATAGGACATTCTAAATCACCAAATTAATGTGAAATTAGTTACTATATTTATAATAAATATGTTGATTATAATTTTCTCCAATATCTCAAATAATACTTTAGAAAACTTAACTATATAGTTCATTTATATAGTAGGTTATCATGTGCATGGCCACTTCACATTTAAATGAATATTATTGTTTTGTTGTAAATAATTACTTTCATGCATATTTAGTGATGAAGAAGTTGTTAAAAGGCCTGGGCATGCATGCACTTATGATTTCTTTGATGGAATGAATAAATATGCTGCTTAATTTTATAACTTTAATCTAATGGTATTACGAATTTTAGTGATGACTTATTTTACATTTAATGCATGCATTTGTTGTGTAGCCCGTAGTATTATTTCAATCTATTAGGCCTGTTTATTAATTAAAAAACTATTTTTTAAATAAATACATATTGATAATTAAGCATTTAAAAATTTTATTTTTATTTTTATTAAATTTATTTTTAATAAATACATATGACAATGAGACATCGACGCACGTGTTATGACCTGCGTGGACAGAAGCCATCATCGTGAGACGCTGTACGGCGTCTATTGTCTCTTCGCTGTAGCATCGCAGATTATGCTACCGACATGGATCCGCGCGGTCTGATGTCTCTTCGTAGACCAGGTGCATGGGGTTCGCGAGTTTGACTTCTATGTGTACCTTAGACGGGAAGTTGCCTTGTTCGAGTTCTTTGCTGTGGACGCCTGACTGTAAGTACTAGCTCGTCATGTCGCTTCGTCGTTATGGAGCAGAATGCCGTAGCTATGTCGAGAATGCGGCTACGTTAGTTGACTGCATCTGTGGACCACTGAGCAGAGACTCTCAGCAGTCTCCTGTAGTATTTATTTGTAGCAGATGACATATACGACTACTTATCTTTGATCCATCGCATAATCGTCTTGATGTGAGCCAACTAGACTGGTCATTGAATTCTTTTACGCCTATTTTTTCTCCTATGCTTGTCCATTTTACGATCTGATCTATTCTCTTTTTCTGTAGAATCATTCCCCTTTTTATCTTCTTCCTGAATGCCCAACAAAATGACAGCAAGTTAAGGTGAAGAACATGAAAAGATATAAAATAATTCATGAACTCAAAAGTTAAACTATTCTTACTCTCATTAAATCTGATGACGAGGTATAAACCTTTGGATCCCGCAGAAAGCATAATCTATCTCTAATCAAGTTTCCTGCAGGCACGGTACCATGTATTGAAGATTGGAATATGGAATTTCAAACAGACAAAGAACCATCAACATTACACAAAAAGCCATAATTCCATATCCGAACAACTGGAACCTAAGAAATTCAACATAAACAATAAAGAAAACGAAAGAAACTCTAACAACCCAAAAAGAGCATTGTTGAGAGTTGATATAATTCATATCCGACAACTGGAAACTTAAGAAATTTCAAATAAACAATAAAAGAAAATAAGAAACTATAACAACCCAAAAGAGCAATTGTCCGAGAGATTTGATATAAAAAACAAAAAAATAACTGACGTAATAATTTGATCCGAAAATTAAATAATATTCTGAGGTCAGAAGTTAACACATAATCTAAATATGGCAAAATTCCATGAAACTTCAATGAATTCTAGGTTTCTTTATCTCTTACTTACACTGCTTCTCTCCTTCGCGTTGGCCTTTTCTTACCTCCGACTGCTTCTTCTCCTATCTCGCTGTATTGTTCGGTCGGAGTCTCCGAGCGAGTGAATGACCTGAACGTCGTTCATCGTTTCCCTTAGCAAAAACCCTGCTCAAATCAATTCCTACAAGATGAACGTTTTTATTTTTTTAATATGCTAACGCGTAAAAAAATAAAAAAATAGATTTAAATTTTAACTTTGAAAGTAAAAATATCAAATTCCAAAAGAAGAGTTTATTAATTATTAACGAAATCTATTTATCTCAATGCTATATATAAAAAATAGAAAATAAGGAAAAAATAATGAAATAGATGATTATATTTTATTAAATCACATTCTTATAAGGAAGAAATTATTTTTTTTAAAATTAATTTACATGGTCGATAGTTTTTTTTCATTTACATAAGAGAGTGAAAGGGTCTTGGAAACAAATCAATAAAACCTCAATTTTATTTAACAAATATATCCATTAACTAAAATTTAATAATGGTATGGGGTTGACTTGTTAAGGCTTACTAACAATTAGTGGAGAATTATTTTCAATTGTTTATAAGCAACAAGTTTAACAGTAAATTAACTGACGCTTTTGTGAATGGATGTTGACGAACTATACATCGCACAAGTGTCCTAATCATTTTTAATTTAATAACAAATTACAGTGCCTTATGTATAGGACATTCTAAAATCACCAGGACATTTCAAAGATGTGAGAATCTAAGGTGTACTCATATTTTAAATTAATAAATATGTTGATTATAAAATTTTCTCCAATATCTTCAAATATACTTTAGAAAAACTTAACTATATATGTTTCATTTATATTATAGGTTAATCATGTGCATGGGCCACTTCAACAATTTAAATGAATATTATTATGTTGTTGTTGTAAATAATTACTTTCACTGCATATTCTACGTGGATGAAGTAAGATTGTTAAAAGGCTGGTCATAGCATGCACTTTATTGATTTTCTATTGATGGAATGAAATAAATATGCTGCTTAATTTTTATAACTTTAATCTAAGGTTGATTCAACGAATTTTAGTCGATGACTTATTTTAACATTTAATGCATGCATTGTTGTGTAGCCGTAGTTATGTATTGTCAATTCTATTAGGAGTTAAATTCCCTGTATTATTAATTAAAAAACTATTTTTTTAAATAAATCAATATGATCAATTAAGCATGTTAAAATTTTATTTGTGATTTCTTATTAAATTTATTTTTAATAAAACATATGAACAATGAGACATTTGAAAATATTTTTATATTTTTTATTTAATTAAATTTTATTTATTAAATATTTAATTTTTTTACAATATATATAAATAAATAAATAAATATTTTTTGTTATCAAAAAAATATATTTTTTTTTCTTTATGTGTATATGATTTGATCGGATGTATTTTTTAAAAAATAATTTTTCAAATAGAATAAGTATTATATTTTATTTAGGAAAGATAAAAAAGAAGAAAAAAAGTAAGAGATAGAATAATTTTTATTAATATTTTTTCTTTATGTTTGTAAGATTTCATCGCATATATTTTTTTAAAAGTAAATTTTCAAATACAATGTACATAATTAAATTTGATAAACAGTTGAAAATTTCAATTTAAAAATATATATAATATTTTATTGATATATTTATATATAGAGATACATTGAAATATTTTTTAAAATAAATTTTGAAATAGAAAATATATGAAATTTTATTTAGGAGAGATAAAAAAAGAAGAAAATAGTATATTATTTTTATTAATATTTTTTTCTTTATGTTTGTAAGATTTCTTTATTAATATTTTTTTCTTTATGTTTGTAAGATTTCATTGGATATATTTTTAAAAAAGTAAATTTTCAAATAAAATTTACATAATTAAACCTCATAAACAGTTGAAAATTTTTATTTAAAAATTATATGTAATGTTTTATTGATATGTTTATATATCTATTTACATTGATAATAATTTATTCTTAATAAAAATAGTTTTTTATTAATAATAATTTTTTAAAAGAGTTTTGAAAGATTTTTATTCTTAATAATAATTTTTTATTTTCTTTTTCATTACTAAATAATTTATAACTACTGTCATTTTAAATTAATAAGAGATTTATATTCCCTTACAATAAATAGATGGTCTATTGATGATTAAACATATTTAATTTTTTTGATATTTTTTTCTCTTAGATCCTAAATCTGTTTGATTTAAAAGAAATTAGTGTTTAGAAAACTAAAAAAAAAAAAAAAAAACTAAAAAAAAAAAAAAACCAGAAATATATAGTTCTGTTTTGTTTGTTTACTTTTTGGGGTTTAAAATTAAAAAAAAAAAAAAAAAACCAGAAATATATAGTTCTGTTTGTGTTACTTTTTGGGGTTTCAAAAAATGTTTATATGTGCATATATTCATTTTTCTGATACAATGAGTAAATAATACAGCTACCTTAGCCAAAGTGATTTCCATTATTAATTCAAATCATCATTTCATTTATTTTCTTTTACCTAGCATTAAATTATAGTTATATATAGATATTAATTTGAAGTTGAGGCAGAGGTTGGAAATTGAGTGGTAGCTTAATTTTATTTTTGGGTACCTATTAGGATTTTAAAATCTGCATTTATAAATTATGGATTAAATGATTATGTTTAGAAATTGGGTTGAATTTTATTATGAGACTAATTTATTATATAAAAATAGAATAAATAAATAAGAAGTAGCATTGCAAATAGTTGTACGACAAAGTGCAATACAAATCAACTACTCAATATTTATTTTAATCTAAACAAAACTTATACTTTAATATTATATAGATAAAAAATGAGTATATAACGAGCATAATCAACGTGTAATACGTCACACAAAATACTAGTATATATAAAAGAAATTAGTCATCCATAACGAGCATAGCTTGTAATATAAATTTTTATTTAAATAGTAAATATTTAAACTATTTTTATTGATTATAATAGATCATATAAAAATTATTATATAATACAGAATTTTATTTATAAAACTTATTAGAAAAAACAATTATATCATATTAAAAAGGTTCATTCCTGTTTTTTTTTTTACCAGAGGTTTTTTCATGTAATCAGGCCAGACTACAGTCCAGGTTCCGATTAAACCGGTCAAATTGGCCGGTTCGGTCCGGTCTGATTTTCAGAATAATGCTAAAAACACAATTCAATTAAAATTGAAACTCAAATCAGTGATCATTTAATAATTAATAAAAATAAAAATAATTGTCTTTAATATTAATTACTTAGTTAACAATCTAGCAAATTGAGTTTCTTCGAGTCTATCGGTGAATTTTGTATCTAAAATTAAAAGAAAAATATAATTAATTAGATCAAATTGGATGAATTGAAAGAACTAACTAAATTAATTAAATCAAATTAGCCGAATTAAAAGAACTAACTAAATTAATTAATTGTCCTTTAATATAAATTAAATTAAATTATGGATAAACAATTATCACAGAAACAAAGGTCCAATGTCTGCTTCCCAGTTTTCAAACATATGCAACAAAAAAATTAAATAAAAACTGGAAACAGATGTGCTTATGTCGCCAAGTGACCAAATTCTCAAAAGGCTAATTTAATAGTTATCAAGAGTCTAGCTGTGTGCGGAAATGGCTACCTCACCACCACGATTGATTCGTTCTGCATTAGGGAAAACAAACTTCAATTCCTGAAGGAAGCGGTAGGCTTTTTACCTCAGTTTGACCAATGATCTGGTTGATTTTGGAATTCAATATTTGATTTAGCTGAATAAAAAATAAGCAATTACATTAATAATAACATAAAAATCAAGAGAAAAAAATAAAAATCGCTACTGCTTTGCAAACCAAAAGAAAAATACAAACGCAAGACAAATCATCCTTTAGCATGTTTCGTACTAAAAATCATTCTACTCATAAACACATCAAGCGGGAGCCTGCAAAGAATAAAAAAAAATATATTCAACTATATATAGCTAGACTTTAAATTCAAAAATGTAAAGCTATAGTTTAGTTGAATTAAATTAGATTTTAAAAGACAAGGTTTTACTTGAATTAGATTACGTTTTAAAAGTTATTAATTTTGTTTACTACATATTAAATATTAAATTATAAAAAATAATTATGTTGGCCAATCAAAACACATAATATAAGGAAAAAAGTTAAAATTTTCTTAAAAAAGAAAAATAGAAAGATGAAAAAAGAGAACGTCCCGAAATTTTCTCTTTATTTCAGCTTTCATATAAAGTTAAATTTTCTTAAAAAAGAAAAAATAGATAAGATGAAAAAAGAGAACGTCCCGAATTTCGTCTTTTTATTTTGCAGCTTTCATAATATATATATATTATATAATAAGATATATATATATATATAATATATATATAATTATATATATATATAGTATAAAGTTCTATGTCAATCATCGATCATCATCCATCATCAATTAATATATAAATCTATGTCATCATCATCATCATCATCATCATTATTATTATTATTATTATTATATCATCATATAAAGGAGAATTATGGTTATTTTCCTCGATCCTGACGTAGCGAGTTCACCAAAGAGAGTGTATAATATTTGAGTATTTATTTTTAGCTTGGCTAGAATTAATTTGGGTTAAATTTTAGTCATCTTTTAAGATATAAAAAGATTTTAAATTCCAAGTATTTAATTAGAGAGAGAATCATTTGCCTTTTATAGACTTTTTATTCTCATTAAAATGGAGTTATTAAAAATTATGTTTCGTAATTAAAATGGAGAGAGAATTAATCTCAAAAAAAAAAAAAAAAAAAAGAAATTATACTCACAAAAAAAAAAAAAAAAACACCGAACTATTCATTCTTTTATTCGAAATTCATTAATTAGTTAATTTTAAGGAGGGCATTTATTGCCTTTTATTTTATAAGTTTTTTCAAAAAAAAAAAAAAAAAAAAACTATTCATCTTTTAATTTCGAAAGTTCATTAATTAGTTAATTTTAAGGAGCATTTTTATTGCCTTTTATTTTATAAGTTTTCAAATTTAATTTTTTGGGCCATCAATCTATGAAAAGTTTACATTTTATCTATCTATCTATCTATTTAAATATATAAAAACAGAAACTTATCTATATAAATATATAAAAACAGAAACTTGGATGCTGATATGGTATAAAATTAGAGTTTTAAAGTGCTGAATTGATTTTTTTTTATTTATATTTTTAATCTAGAGTTTTTAATTTAGAATAGTTAATATCTATAATTTTTATGACTTTTAATTTCTACTCCTTTGTTTTATTTTCTTTTATTTTCTCCTTCTCCTTCTCCTTCTAAACGACATCATTATAGTAGTATTAATGACTAGAAGTCCATTAGTTGATAAACTAAAAAAGCAACAAATTTAAGTTTTTAAACCTACAATTAAGGAATTTGTGCAACTTTTTCCGTAATGAATATAAAGATTTGATTTTTTACAGTCATTTATTGATTGATATTCAATGAGTTGCTGCATTAATAGCGGTATAAAGAATATTTTTATTTTAATGTAGTTTTATTTTTTCACATAATCATCGTCTTGCTCTCATGTATAATTTTGAAAATGTTGTTAGCTTTGGAGATGAAATCGGAAGTAAATTATTTTTTATTATGAAAGAACATCATTTCTACAAATTTGATTACAACATGACTATTTGAAACACATAACTAAGTTATTTTTTACTTTGCCTATTTATGATGTAGGAACATTTGTTAGGAATTCTATTTTGCTTATAAATCATTGCTTTATAAATTTATCCATGATCATCAAAATATATGCTACTGTTGATTATTATTTGTGCAAGTTTTTAAAAACATAATTCCTATGGAACAAGTTTTCGCTGAAGACCAATAACTTTAAATTTTGTTAGATGCTTCAAATTTTCAGACAAATGGGACTAATTGGTCTTCATTCAATCCGTTCAAGATACAAAAAATAAAAATGTGAAACGTGTAAGAATCTTACATGAAGATCATCTCTATTGGATATGGAGTTTGTGTATAACAAATTTAATTATGCATGATAAAATCTTAAAGTAAATGATGGAAAAGTAGGAGGAACATTAGGTTACAACCGTGAAAAGTATTTTTTAATTAATATATGTTAATATTAGATTTAGATGTTGTTGAAACTTATAAGTACTGTTTTGTGCTGGATAAGTAGTAAATTTTTTAATAATTATAGGTGTTATTATTACCATGCGGTGATTTTTTTATTTGTTGTTTTCACTCTGCTGTTCAAGCCGGCCAAATAGTTGCAGACTCAACTTACCGTTCTTCAGCTCTTATTTAGCTCATTAGAGCTAATTTTTCCTTTTTAAAATGCTTTTGAGTTTAAAAAAATAAGTAATTGAACAATGAAGAGGAAACAAGAAAGGAAGGAAAAGACATAAAAATTATCTATATTTGAAATTTTGAACTCATGAATTTTTTTTCTTTTATATTTTGACTTGACCACTCACAATACCATCTTAAAAATACTAATTGTTTAAAAATGTAATCATAGAAGAATTTCTAAATTTGGTCTATACTAAGTTTAATAAAAAATTAACATTTAATATATTAAAAAATTCAAGTATCCAATTATTAATATTCTTAATATATATCCCCCAGCATGCAAAAGCCGAATCCTATTTGATGATGTGGCACAATGTTAAGAAATGTCAATGCTAACGTTGCTTTTTTTTTTTTTTAATTTTTCATTATTTTTATTTGATTATCTAACATGGAAAAACTAAATTATAAAACTCTTTATTTCTTTTTTTCAACAATTATTCCCATAAAAACTGATTTGTTTCAAATTTTTTCAATAATTAATAAACTAAATAATAAGTTTACTATATCCATGTTAAATTCATTGCATTCATTATTTGTTCGATTCAACCACGTGTATTTTCAAAATTTTCACTCATAATAATATATGGTTGTTAAAAAGTAATACTATTTAAAATTTTTCAAAAAAAAATAAAATTGTACATTTCACGAAACGCGGACATTTGACTTAGTTACTAATAATGCTCTTAAACAAAAATGATGTTATAATTTTTTTCAAAGAAAAATACTCCTAATGAACTATAATTATGCTTACCTGAAAATGACTAGATTTTAAAATTTCAGAAGTTTATCCAATTAAATTCTAAATGATAATTTAAAAATATTAATTTATTGTATCAAATATGGGATTATAAACAAAAATACATAAGGAAAATTCGAACCACCGGAACCCAAGAGAGAACCCATAAATCAGACCAAAACCATCCAAAAACCTGAACAATCTAGAAGCTTCTATCAAATCGAATCGAAAACGGATTTTAATTTGACAATTGGACCAAACCGCTCAATATCTCTCGCCACCAACTCCTCCGTCGACGACGACCTCAACTTCGGCCACCTCTTCGACGAGCGAAGCCTGTTCCACACGAAACAAGGCTCTCTCTCTCTCCTTGCGACGTTACTGTTTCCTTCCACAGCTTCTCTTCTTCGACTTTCTGGCGATTCCCTTTACTCAGGTTGGTCGAAAATCAGTTATCAATGCTTTCGATTAACTTATTCTGGATTGATTTGGTCATTGAATGAGGATTGAAGGGGGTTTAGAATTTAGGTTTCAATTTGAATAGAAATTTGGGACTTTGATAAAGTTAGGCCTTAGATGATGAAATTGAATTGGAAATTGTTTTTTTTTTTTTTTTTTTTTTTTTTGAGGGGGTTTAGAATTAGGTTTCAATTTGAATAGGAAATTGGACTTTGATAAAGTTAGGGCCTTAGATGATGAAATTGAAATTGGGAAATTGTTTTTTTTTTTTTTTTTTTTTTTTTTTTTTTGAAAAACTGGAAACTAATATTGTTTTCGGGCTTCAATGGAAATTGCTGATTTGCTGAGGTCTATTTGCATTGATTATTACTCGACCTTAGTTCGATTAAAAAGAAAATGCAAAGATGATGTCTTAGACTGATCCGTCCACAGGCGATGGGTCGTGACAATTATTGCATAACTTCAAATTCAATATTGCATCTAACCTCATCTACTATTAAAACTCATAACTACTTGCGATTTCAACATTTAATACTTTTTTTTTTTTTTTTTTTTTTTTTTGAAAAACTGGAACTAATAGGTTTTCGGGCTTCAATGGAAATGCTGATTGCTGAGGTCTATTGCATTGATTATACTCGACCTTAGTTCGATAAAAAGAAAATGCAAAGATGATGTCTTAGACTGATCCGTCCAAGGCGATGGGTCGTGACATTATGCTAATTCAAATTCAATATGCATCTAATCATCTACTATTAAAACTCATAATATTGCGATTCAAATTAATACTAACAGTCGTTCAATAAACAAGTGTTCACTTTGACATAATATGATTTCGTGGAACCCCCGGATGCGTCCGCAAAGGATAACAGCGTCAGGCGTCAGTCCTTATAAAAAATGAAACGACATTGTAATATAGGTACCCGGTCTCGAACGACCAGACGTCTCCATTAAGAACATAATGGTCGATTTTTTTTTTTTTAATATTTTTAAACTGTTTTCCAAAATGACAAATAGTCTTTTCCTTCATTTTTCATTTTTACCTCTCATTGATTCACATATATATGTGCTTCAATCGGTACTTTAGCTCTGCACCTGAAGAGCATTGCCATGGCTTCAAAGCTGTTGACGAAACTTGGAGCAATTCGAGATCCTAAAATCGCAGGAAACCCTAACCGACTCCTCCATGTCTCAAGACGACTCTTAAATAACCAACCAACTTCAACTACTCCTCTTCAAGCACCACCTTCACCTCTTGACAATGGCAAGAGTGTTGACAAGGAACCCAAACCAGTGTCATCTTTGAAGGACCTTGAGCTTGCTAAATTTTCAGCTATTGCTGACACCTGGTTAGTTAACTTAACTTGCCTTACATTGTTTTTGGATTTTGGGGCTGCTTTATGGAACTAGAGATCTTTCTATCGCTAAAAGCAATTTCAGGGTGTTCATATATGATTGCTATCAAATATTGTACTAGTTAATTTATGGGCTCTGTTTTGTGTCATAATCATCAACAGGTGGGATTCAGAAGGGCCATTTAAACCTTTGCATGCCATGAATCCAACACGAATTGCTTTTATCCGCTCTGCACTTTGTAGACATTTCAGGTAGATTGCTTTTATATGCTCTTATTTCCTTTTTGCTTCATGTTAATTTTTTTTTCTTGCATGATCTGAACATTGAGTGCTTTCGGCTTTCCTGTTCAAGTTCTTCTACTAATTATTTGGCAAGTGAGTTCTAATTGTTTATACCATATACACGGTGCCCTTGGAAAAAGGTGCAAATTAGCAAGAGCCAAGAGATCATTGGATATCTGTAATTGGCTAATTGCAATATGCAGTGCAAAATTACGTTTTCTTTATTGTTTGGACTATAAATATGAATATTCTGAGACTTTTATCAGTATGATGTTTATCTCATTTAGGTATTACTATAACAATCGCAAGGATTTTTTTTTATTGCACATTCATCCGTCTTAATAGTTTTAATTGTTTCAGGAAGAATCCACACGTGGCTAGGCCTTTTGAAGGACTAAAAATTGTTGATGTTGGTTGTGGAGGTGGAATTCTTTCTGAGGTATGTTACTTTTCTCACTCGGGCAATTATACAATTCCTACTCAGTCTTGTGCAACCAGCTATGTTTTGTCAGCTTCACATCAGAAGCCTTTCAGTTGCAGGTTAAACATTTTTCAATGTCTAACCCAAAATTTATGTCGTGATCCTTTTTAAACAGGCACTCATCAAGCACCTGATATATGGTATTTAATATCTGAAAGTTTCAGAAAAAGCTGCTTGTATTCATGTTTAAGTGTTTGATTTGTAATGAGCATCTTAGACGTGCTTCTATTTCGGCCTCCATGACGTAAAACAAGAAAAATTATTATCAGAAAGGTTGTTGTCTAGGGGAAACTTTTTGGAATTTACTGGAATTTCTTGGTAATTATGCAAAATAGATAATATATTTTATCTGCCCATAGCTGGTTTATTTATCATGGATGTTTCCTTGATAGCATATTCATATTTTTGTAAATGTTAGTTTGCAACTGTTATTTTGTGAACGCTTCTGCAAAAGTGTTTGAAAATTGCTCGTAATATGTCTCAGCATCTTGGCTAGAGAATTGATTGTTGCATTGTCATTAATATGAATTGGTAGCATGAGGATACTCTTCTCCGTGCATACAATGCGTTATTACAATTGATAATATATACCAATCTAGTCTGGCTACATATTTTTCCCTAATAAGGGCTTACTTTTTCTGGTGTTTATCCTTTCTTTTGCTTCTTCAGCCTTTAGCCCGAATGGGAGCAACTGTAACAGGCATTGATGCTGTGGAGAAAAATATCAAGATTGCTCGCCTTCATGCTGTACGATCATTTTGTATTTTAAACTACTCTGTGCATGTGCTCTAGTTGAAAATTAAGTTGTTCCTATATTCTGAGGATACTTTAGTTTAATTTGTTTTGGATCATTTTATCTTTTTTTACCGTACATATTACTGGAAAAGTTTCTCAATCATAGTACAAAATTGACCTCAATGCTGTCTTTTCCCCTAATCCTGTGGGTGTACCCCCTAATAATTTCTTCACATTTTTCGACTTTTTATGTATCTTATATAAGAATCACTTTTAGAACCTGCCTTTCTCTGTCCTTGTGTTGCTTTTGGGAAGAAAAGGAGGAGAGAATAGCTAAAAATTGTAATGCATGGAAAGACTATCACAACACTGAACTTGCTTCTATGATATTTACAGGACATTTACAGCATGCCCATAGTATATTTTGTATGGGATTATGTAGTATTACGGAATAGGATAAAGTGCATAGAACATTTGGGTGGGTAAGGCATGTTGACAAGGTGTGCCAAAATTGAGACTTGACAACTATCATGAAGTGGTAGGTTAAGGCTGTGTAGAGCTGAGTTCGGGCTCCTCCAGCCAATTTATGCATTTGGAGTTAATACTTAGATCTCAAGAGGAAGTCATGGTTTTGTCTTTTATGACAGAATGAAAAGAGGCCCTTATTCAGTTGAGTTTTATTCTTTATTTTCCCCCTTCATTGTGGGTCTTGGGTAGGAGTAGTCTCAATGATTTCCTTATCACCAGTCATGTATAATGCCAATAATTCCTGAATAATAAGTATGCTGTTACATTTCAGTGTTATTCGAACTGTCTCATTCAAATAAAATATTTGTAAGATTGAAATACTTTTAGTGTTTAACCAGTGCTTATTTTTTATTTTGAAAGTTCAAAATCCTTTTTAAATTTAGATTATATATTTATGAACTTTATCTATCTGCACAGGATATGGATCCAGTGACTTCAACCATTGAATACTGTTGCACAACAGCTGGTACATGGAATTTTTTTTAACCTCTTGTAGGTCAAGCATTCCAACAAGTTCGTTCTTTTATTTATTCAAAATTGGCATTGTTTTGGTCTTGCTAATTTGCTCCACCTATACAAGTGGAGGGTGGTATCCGCTTGTGAATAAGAGTTAGTTATCTGTCTAAGATATTCAATGTTCTCCTTTTGCTCCTCTTGAGTATTTAATTCCCAGGTGAGATTAACCTCGCTTGCGTCACCCAATACAGCTACTGCTTTTGAATCATCTCTGCCTAGTGTAATTATTGATTCTCTGAATTTTCCCTTCTTTGTGGAAGTCCTGTTCTGAAATCATGTTACTCACATGCTTTGATATTGCATTTACAATAACTATGTCGTATGTTTGCTTGGAAGTTCCACTGGTAATTGTAATTGTCTTCTGTATATTCTTCATAAGTAGGATCTTTTCATTTAAAGTTTATGATTTAAAAATATAATGTAGTTCAATTCTAAAATTCAATGCTTGACGAAACATTTAAATTGTGTTTTGAGCATTTGAGGTGATATTTGAACAGAAAAGTTAGTTGAGGAGCAAAGGATGTTCGATGCTGTGATTGCACTAGAGGTTCTCTCTCTCTCTCTCTCTCTTATATCATCATATAGACCTGCAATCTTCTTATATTCATAAGCTCCATGCCAATCTGAATTCATGAGAAAATCAAATTGTTGGTTCACCCTGTACTTATCCTACTAAGCCAAAGTTTCTCCATCCTAAACACTTCATCTCAGAATTTAAAGATTATCCTGCTTCAAAATGCTTGCCTTATGATTTTGGTGATAGAGAGAACCTTTTTGCTTAATGGAGAGATTATGATGAAACATCTAAAATGGAAGCTATGCGACTTGTGTGACACTATATCAAATCCATAATGTTTTTATTATGCTTCACTGCATCAAATCATGGAGTAATTAGGCATCCTGCATCCACATTCATTGATGGACTCAAATGGCCTCTTCTATGCTAAGAATGGGGGTGTAAAGCAAAAAAAAATATATATTTTTTTTCATGAAGTGATACTTTCTTATTATCACATTATTTCTGGTGAATTCAAAATTTACTAGTACTTCATAGGAAGTAAAAGTTAAGAGCTAAACTTTGAACTAAATGAAGCTCAGTGGGAAAATGGCAATGTTTTTAAAATAGTTTGATGAGTTTTAAGCCAGTGAAAAAAATTGGGATTATGCTATATCCATCCAAAATACTTAAGAGGACGAGTCGTTAAGATTAGAAGAGTAATAATGGAAATATGCTTCAATTAGATAGCTGCAATTTAGCTTTAGATGGTATCAGAAGTCTGTTAAGATTTGACCTACAAAGAGCACTGTATAATGGTCAATGGAGATAGTCTTTTTAAGCAATATTAACATTGACAAAAATTAATTTTGCTCTGATTCTTTTCAAACTGTTTTAATGTGAATCCAATTTGTTTGTAAATTCGGAAGTTTGCACTTAGGTAATTGAGCATGTAGCAGATCCTGCTGAATTCTGCAAGTCTCTGGCAGCACTAAGTTGTCCTGGCGGAGCTACTGTGATTTCAACAATTAACCGTTCTATGAGGTCATATGCAACTGCCATTGTTGCAGCAGAGTACCTTCTCCATTGGGTATGATTCTTATAGTTAATTTTGCATGTTTCTTGATTTCCATGTTTTTTACCTGACTGCCTGTAAACCATTTGCCTTAATACAGTTTGTACTTGGTCTTGCTTCATTATCCATGTTCCCCAAGTGCTGAATAAATTCCTAAATAACTTACTATCTCTTCCTCTTATTTTGCACCTTCAAATTCATTGTTATAAGACGGAGACTTTAGTAGGAAATTTTTTTTCAACATTCTAGGCTTGCGGCCAGAAGGAGATAAAGTCGGATCATCAAGTGGTCTCTGGTTTATATTAAATTCAATCCTCTAATTTTGAAGATTCCACTTTGTTTCCAAGTGTCGCCTTTTCCGACTGCTTAGAACTAATATGTATTTCACATTAGGTAGTCATAAAATTTTCTGTAACTGTTCAGTTCTGGGATCTGGTAGTAATTAACCTTAGGACCACACGGAAAGTACGATTTCAAAATGTATGGTTAAATGTTTATGCATATATGCATGCATTACTATGTTTATGCTGATAGTAGATGTCATGCAGCTTCCGAAAGGCACCCATCAATGGTCGAGCTTCCTTACTCCCGAAGAGCTAGTTCTGATTCTACGACGTGCTTCTTTCGATGTAAGGAAAATGTTTTTCCATTGTTGATTTACTTTGGTCACTGCTTTATACACAGTAATATTATCTTTTGGTTCTGCGTTGTCCTGTCCTTGCTCAGGTTAAAGAAATGGCCGGATTTGTTTACAACCCCTTGACTGGACGCTGGTCTCTTTCTGATGATATTAGTGTAAACTTTATTGCTTTTGGTACCAAAAGTTGCCAATAAAAACATCTACACACCATTTGGTGCAACACTTTTTATTTCTTTATTTGTAAAATTTGAGTTCTATAGATTTTGATTTCACCGTTATAGAATAAATATTCAGGTAAGGTTAAGTTGTTTGGCAAAATTAATTGTTTTATTAGTTATTAGTTGTTTTAGTTGTATTTAATTATTAGCTGTTTGAATAGTTGTTCATGTGACGCTAAAAAACTAAATATAACATGAGTTAACTTTTTATAAAACATTATTTTAACTTTTAAAAATTAATTTAAACGTTATGTCACCGAATAATCTAAAAAATAGTATCAAATACTAAAAACTATTTAAAGAGTTGTTGTCGGCCTAAGGAATTTGCTGCAATACTAGAAAATTCGCAGTGAAATAGACCTCTCATGGGGCTTTGCAGCTGTATTTCAAAATACCAACGTTGGTCCATAAACTTGGACAACAACCATACAATTATAGAAGAAGAAATCTACGTTAGAGACTTTACCAAAAATTTCCCGTTCAATTTGTAATATCGTTGCCTAAATTCCACATCGAAATTGAATAAGCACGTACGAGGAAGAAAAGTGTGTATGGAGATGCCTTTAGTACGAGTGGGAAGGCCTTCTATTCTTGGAAATAACTTTAATACTATCAAGTTAAAATTCAAAAAAATAAATTTTAATTTTCTCTCTAAATTTTCATTAAGATTTTTCCATTTATTAAGAAACTAATTAATTTTCTTAAATTTCAAAATTAAAAATAATTATAAAGATACTTATTATATTTAATATAAATAATAATAATATTTAAAAAACGTTATTTATTATTTATGAAAATACTCGAGACGAATCAATTTTTTTTTTTTTTTTAATCATTAGAGAAAATCTACGTTAGAGAGCAGACTTTACCAAAAACTATCCCGTTTCGCAATTGTAAAATATCGTTGCCTAAATTTTCCACATCGAAATTGAATAAGCACGTACGAGGAAGGAAAAGTGTATTATGCGACCCGATGCCCTTTAGTACGGAGTGGGATAGGGCCTTCTATTCTTGGAAAATAACCTTTAATACTATTCACAAGTTAAAATTCCAAAAAAATTAAATTCTTAATTTTCTCTCTAAATTTTCATTAAGATTCTTTCCACTTTTATTAAGAAAACTAATTAATTTTCTTAAATTTCAAAATTAAAAAAAATAATTATAAAAGATACCTTAATTATATTTAATATTTAAAAATTTAATAATAATATTTAATAAAAACGTTATTTATTATTTAATGAAGAATACTCGAAGACGAACATTTTTTTTTTTTTTTTTTTTTTTTTTTTTTTAATCGCAAGATTCCAATCAGTGGAGAATCAAATTGGAAGTAAAATAAAAATAGAACCTTAAGAAATAATCCTGAAGCGGACAGGTAGACACTTTGGAGTCGGTTTTACATACAATAAAAAATTATAAATTATAAAAACCATAAATTTATTTTATAAATAAATAAATAAAATCCCCCAAACGTCCAGTAGAATAGAAAGCACCCACCATGTCGTTGATATTATTGAAAAGTCCCTCCTTCTCCAATTCTGCTCTGGACCAGAATTTCCAATTCCCAGCCACTTCAATTCCACTTTCTACTTTGAAATTTTCGAGACATGGAAAATGGGTTTCTCTAAGAAACAAATTTCGCGCGAAGTCCGATACAAATGCCAACGAACAATTATCCCAGGAAAGTGTTTCAGCCTCGACCGATGGCACTGGCAGCAGTTCAACTGCTTTCTTGTCCTTTCTTTGTCCCCTGCTCAGGCTCTTATCTGTAAGTTATGCGAGTTTGTGTTTCTCATGTGAAATATTTGCTTGGTTTGTTAGGATGAACTGAAACACAAGGAAGTCCAATTCTAGATATAGAATTTGAAACACCAACAATGTGATGAGAGATTCATGTTAAGTTTTGTTCATTTTTTTTACATAGTTACAAATGACCATGGAATTCATTTCATTTGCAAATAAATTTCATGTTTGGATTGGAAGTAGAATTCATTTATAACAGCTTCTACTTAGAATTTATTAGCTTTATTGTCTTGTTTACTTCTTAAATTGAAGAGTTTATTTGAAAATTCTAATAATTTTGGTAGAATTTGATTATTCAAGTATAAACAATTCCGCATATTTTAAAATTTAGAATTCTAAATGAATTTCCAATTATGCCAAACTCCTCAATTAGTGTCGATGTATAAATTAATTCTTTCAAAAATTGTATGGACTTCATTTATTCCAGACAAGCTCAGTGTATACCTCTATATCATGTTAGATTTCTAGTGAGATTCTTGCTGGAATTAGGTGAGAGTACCCTAATTGCAACATTTAATCAAAATCCAGTGACTAAAAATTTTTTTGAACATAATAAAAGTTGAAGACGAGTTCCATAACTTTTAGTGAATAATTACCCACTTTATGTACTCTTGTGCATTTTTTAACTGGAACTTGCTGTGATATGATTAATCACCTTTTTTGAAGGTGGACTTTCCATTGTTCTCAAATTAATCTGTCTTTGATGATGCATAGTGGAGGGCACAATTCTTGTTGTCAAATGAAACTCAGAAATAAGTTCTAGTTATCTAGATGGAGATGAATTATCAAGGAACCAGCCAGGTTAAAAAATGGATATAGAAAAGAGGGACTGGAGAGGGATGGGGAAGAGAGAATGTGTATTAGTGCTCCAAGCACAGATCTTTTTATGAGATGTTGCTTTACTATCTCCTCCAGATGCTTCAGAAATTCATAAATTAGATGATAAAGTAAGTCCAAGAGATAAGAATACAGGTTCTCTCTCTCTCTCAATGCATTTGTAAGAATTCACTTATTGAAGTTCTGTTGTTCCATAGAGTTGTGACAGACATTGCAGTGTGTCCTCAGTAAATTGGATGCTATTAGGTTGTCAATTCCACTGGTAACCGTATAGGTTGTCAATTGTTTGCATGAACCAGCCGCTTTTAAGACACATGACTTCATGACGTGGGTGCTTAATAACACAAGCCTAAACCAGGAAAGGAATGGCTGATTGGTTAGGTGGCTTACACCCTTTGTTTCTTTATAGTGCTTACTAAAAACCAATACTTAAAGAAATAATTAAAGGAATTAGCAGCAGCACTTTGTAAACCCATGTAGCGTGAGATGACATCTTCGGTTAATTTCTTTGTATCTAGTGTCTTGACTTAAAACTAATATCTAATATAATTCTCATCACATTAAGAACTAATGTATTTTCCTGATATAGGACTTTCATTATTGGAGTGAATTTTGCTTTGTAGTTGAAAAAGAAGGAATAAGAGACATTTAATATGATTTTTTTTTTTTTTTTTTGCAAACAAAACTAAATCTGTATTTCATCTTTATCCATATGTTTTCTATATTGGTTCATGTACTTAATTGTTCAATATTGTTCACTTTTTTTTGGCATTTTTTCTGTTAACTTATATAGAGATAAAAACATGTTTAGTCTACATTAAAAATTAAGGTTTGCTAATTTGATGGTTCATAATGCCATTTTCTAACTCTTTTTTAACCTGCATGAATTTGCTAGACTATTGGCATCTTGATTACTAGTTTGCCAAAGATTCGAAGCTATATACCTTTTGTTTGTTTTTAATTTGATTTCTTATATCTCTTATCTGTTAGACATTCTATGGTGTATTGCAGTAGGCTGCAAATGCCACTTGATTTCTCACTTTGGCCATATGAAGTATGGTGTCCAATTCTCATGTTGGTCTTCTACCTCATCTTACCAGACTACGTTTTTCTTCTTTCTTGCAGGGAGGAGATCCCTCTCGAGAACGAAATAATGCTTTGGAGGTAATCTTTTGAAGAGTAACAGTTTTTCCATTTAGTTCACAGTTGTTGACTTGAGGATGGTTCATATAACAAGAGTCCTCCATCTTTTAGTTCTCATTATTTTAGATTTTATAGGTTATTTCTGCTTAAGCCTTTAGGTTAAATACATAAATATGTCCTGGAACCATATCCAGATGTATGATACATCTGTTCTTTTATAAGGATAATTATATAAAAGAAATTGACTATTGTTGTCAATTTTAACTTAAATCTCAACATTTAAGATGTTTCAGTATCATGAAATGGATGTATAGAGAAAAAGCTTTTTTTTTTTTACTAAATTCTTGATTCTGCAACACTGTTAGTCAAACTTTTATCTTCACTTGGCAGTATTTGATTGCTTTATCTTTGTGCTGCCGCTCTTTTACAATCTCTTCAAAATTTAGACCACATATTTTCAAAAGAAAAGGTGGTGGGACACTTGCCATCTCCTTAAGTTCAAGAGATGACGGGTGGTAAAATGTTGGCTTGGGATATTTCATGCAAAACCATGTGAACATCCAGTCTTTAAGGGAAAGGTTAATAAACTTCAGGAAAAAAAAAATTGACATCCTATAAATTCTCTTGTATTATCATTATCCTGATTCTCACCATTCCTGATCTGGTAAGTTCATCCCCAACGCCCTTCCCTGATCCATAAATGTCTTGTGAAAGCTAATTCTGATCTATCATCCATGATCCTAAAATTGCAAAATGTTAGAAAGTGACCTAGAAAACAGTTCTTAGTCTTAATCTTCTCTTTTAATAATAGTAAAAGCCCATAAACAGTAACCTTTTGAGTGAAGAATCTCTAACTATTAATTCTGATTTCCAAAATACTTCTAATTCAAATCTGTTAAAATCTTCTAATGGAATCTACAAAACAAATAACATCAGCTTTAATAATTGTTCTTTTATTTCTATAATTCATCATCCTTGAATTCCCCTGAATTAAGCATCTCCTTGTCTATGACGTTGCAACTACTATTTTATCGTTTTTTAAGAGAAAATCTCAGCTTTTTGATTCCCTAATCACTCCTTCACCTTTCCTACAATAACTAGTACCCTTCCTCAAACTTGTTACTTCCTCCCTCTTCCTTTCTTTTCCCTTCAAATCCCTCAAAACATTTAAAATTTCTCTTCAAAGCCCTCAAGTATTATTCCCGCCATTTCAACAAACTTTGGAACCTAACTAGAGGTTTTAAATAAAAATGGACATGGGGTTTTGAAAATTAAATTCATTTAGAAGTTGGAAAAATATCTCATATACTTTTATAGTTTAGAATAAAATACATTGTATTCTGAATTTAACCCTGTCATATCTTAAAGGATGTATATAGAAAGGCTCGAATTGACCAGCAATTTACCTTTTAGCTGATCCAGATGCTTATAATAGTAGGTAGCAACATCTTCATTATCAACCTTGGCTCGATTTCCGTGGGGATCAAGGTCATTATCAGATAGTTTCGACAACCAAGAGACAACAATTTCAAATTCTCCTAAACATTTACAGCTCTATGAATTTGGTATGCTTTCTTTTGAGTGTATATTCAGCATTGACTGTTATTGTTCTTCATCACATGCAGAAAATATCTTGTTATTTTCTTTTTCTTCATTATGAGCAGGATTGTTATTTTATTAAGTAATTCAGCAATTTTTTCATATTTAGGAAAATCACAACAAAAGAACCTATCTGGCAATACTTCACATCTCGTTTTTATAAAAACATTACATTTCCATCCAGGAAGTAATGATTTCTCTCTGTTGTTAATTCCCTCTTTGCATATGACATTCCTTTGTAGAGAAGTCACAGATATATTGTAGAAAGCTAAGGCTACTGAGCCCAAAAATACCCCCTAATCTGCTGCCACCAAGACACCCACCAAATCTAATAACCTTACCCATCAGATTCAAAATTCCTCATTGTGGAAAAGGCAGCAAGTAAAGCCTATTCAGAGAATTGCTTGGGGCAGAATTTAGGATAGTGCTGCTCTCAAACATTGTGGGTCTTCTTTAAAGGTTGAGGTAATGAGATTGGATTTCCTATTGCACCAGTGCCATTCAAAGGGTGCTTTCATGACTGAGATGGAGCTTCTCTAAAAACACCACCAGATTAAGTATATATAATGTGCACCAAGAACAGTTTCAAGGAAGATATGTAGAAGATGCCAGCTACAGCTTGTGAAGACTATTGGCATGGAATGGTTGAGTCTATTCTAGGGAAATCAAACACCAAAGTGTCCATTTTGACATGTAAAAGTCAGGATCTTAGCTCAAATTTTAAATGAGTTGGTGTTTTCACTTGGTTCATCCTGTTGAGTTTTGTCCGCAGTCCGTGGTTTAAATTGTGGCTGCAATTACCGTCAGGGTGTTGTTGGTAATTTTAAATAACTGAGGCCAGACTTAATGAAATAGAAGTTGCACATATTACATGTTAAGAGTAAAACAATCTTCCTTGAAACACTGTGCATGGGATCTACTCAACAATGCAAAGGTTGAACACATTGAAGCTGCAACAAAAAGGAAAGCAAGGTTCATTTTTTGGCAACCCTAGATCTTTTAGTAGATGATGCCTTATATAGTTTATTTGAAAAAGATCCATATAGCCATCTACATCCACATTGGGAATGTGGCCAACTTGAGTTGAGTATATACACTGTTGACTAATTAATTTACTACCAACCAATTAATAAGGATATGAAGTGTAACTGGAGATAAATTATGGAACCTGAAGGTTTAAGCTTTTGAAAAATAGATTTATGTAAAGATTTATACTTTCTCATCGCACTGTGTTTTATGTCATTCATTTTAGTTCCATATATTGAACGTTGACTATTAGCTTGCCACGTAACTATTATATCATTTCATACATTATACTTTATTCTTCCTATTTATTTTCATGGACTAATAATATGCTTCGAACTAAGTCTTTACACTATTGGTAAGTTATTATTTATTCTTTCTAGGATGGGAATTTTTAAGTTAAGCTTTCTTATACATCTTTTCAAAACAGAAGCATGTCCCTTCTGCCGGAGGGTACGAGAAGCCATGACTGAGTTAGACCTTTCAGCTGAGGTAAGCAGTTCTTTGAAGAAAGAATTACAAATCCAAATCCTCCATCTCAGTTTTTGCACATATTCTGCAGAAAAAAACCTATTTTTGAAGGATTTAACTGTATAATTTTCTTCACTCTAATTAATTATGTTCTGCCATGTTTTTGGGCTTATAGTTCAATGGTACAATTAATGGGCCACAACTGATAAGCTTAGCCACATTGCCTGAGAATATTTAACATCATGCTTCCATATGAAAGGCTTCTGTTGTGTCTAATTCCAAAAAGATAACCTATATATATCACTTGTCTTGTATGGATCAATTTCGTAATAGTTAAGAAGTGAAGAAAATAAATACAAGAGAGAATATTTTTAAGGTGGAAAATCCGTAATACGCTAAAGTTTATTACAATTATCTTTCATTCTGGTGTCTGCATGCTACACTCTAGGCATAACCAACGTGAACAAATAGAATGCAATACTCCATATGGAATTCCTTAGTTAAAACGTTCACCAATTGATTTTCAATGCAACAAAAAGTAATCAATCATGCAAGATTTCACCTTTTTTCTCTCTTTATTTATTTATTATTTTTTCTTTCAATACATGTGGTTTGTTTTCTTTAAACTATGTTATAGTTATTTTCAATTGCTGCCTTATTATCAGGAGCAGATCAATATTGTAGATTTGGGGGCCACCGTTACTCCCAAGTTTTTAAAAATTCAATTTTCCCCTCTCAATTATATATATAAATTGGACTTTTCAAAAATTCAATTTTTTTTCTCTTTTTATATATATTTTCAAAGATACTCGTATCTCCCCAATTTTGCATTAATTTTCCTTTTTTTTTTTTTATTTTTATTAATTTTCCTTTTGTTTTTTTTATTATTTTTTGGCCCCCCCCCGCCCGCGAAACCACTTAAGGCCCCCCCCCCCCCCGCGAAACACTTAAAGGACAGTTCTGCCCCTGCTTATTATCACAATTATTCCACAGTTCATCTCTCTTCTGAGCTAAGCTCACTTCTCTTCTCAGTTTATTCCTTGTCGAACATACATTTATAATTCCTAGATGATCTTGACCTCCATAGTTATACATGGAAACATTCTTTGCACAGGCAAAGTAGCTATCTAGGAAAATTTTCTCTCTTTTTGATGTCAAGTATTGAAGAAATTGTGTTCCCCATTTTATAATGTAATATTAAATATCGTGATTCTATCTGATTTCCTTCCCAAGATACTGCTTTGGCAGGTCGCTTGAAATCACATATTCATGTGGATTCACAAAGTTGAGCTTGTATAGCTTATTGCAAATTGTAGGGAAAAGCTGTTGTATCATGCCTGTTTTGACGACTAAATTTCTATTTTCTGCTTCACTTGCCATTTTGTTTTCCTCATGTTGGCTATTGGACATATGTTGCAGGTGTATCCTTGTCCAAAAGGCTCTGCAAGGCACAGGGAAATGGTCAGAAAAATTGGTGGCAAAGAACAGTATGTAATTTGATCCATGTTGCTAACTTACCATACTATTTTGCTTTAATAAGTTGAAAAGGTTCTTGAGTCCAATCTTATATTACAAAGGTATTAATGTGGTTTTGACCAGACATCATGCAATTATTCTCAGTCAGATTCAATATCTAAGTTATTTGATCCTTTATCATGCCTATCAGTTTCATCATGTAAATCAAAGTAGCTACGGAATATATAAAAAGTAATATTTGTGACATGAAATATTAGTTTGTTGTGGGAGAAGAAAGTGTTTTGGGTTCTATATGGGCGTATGCTTATGGAGTTTTAGAGGGGTCTCTTGAATGTTATCCAGCTCGAGTAGAGGGCATTCCTTTTTAGTTTCTTTTTTATGTTTCTTGTTGCTAGTTGTATTGGAGTTATAGGTGAGGGGAGGGGGGGTTTCTTTTCCTCAATAGTTGTACGGTCACTTATTTCTTTTCAATAATATTTTTATATATCACCAACTATTGCATACCAGTTGTTAGTATATGCCATATGGGTACTTTTGATGATGATAGTTACCATTAACCCATCTGTCCCTTGGATTGGTCAAGTATAATTTTGTTGAAGCTTGTTCTATTGCATTAATTCGTCTTTTCCTTGGTAAGTTTTTGCGTTGTTGAATCTCCATGCAGGTTTCCTTTTCTAATTGACCCAAACACTGGTATTTCAATGTATGAGAGTGGTAAGTAATGCAGGAGTCCTTATTCCTTATTTCTTTTTTTTTTTTTCTTTTTAATTTCCTGTAATTTCCTGTATGATTTGAATTCCTCTTGGTTGTGGTGTGCTAAAAAATATGTGCATCTGCCACTCCTTTATCCCTCACAGCTTTTGGCCCTATGCCCTTCGTATAATTGGCAGTGGTACTTCACTAGTACAGAGTACAATCTGAGTGAAATGTAGTAATTGCAAAATTATTCAATTGCTATAGGCTAAAATTGATCTGTCTTTATCCTAGACAACACAATCATGATTGGTTGATCCTAAAATCCTTCAGCTTCTATTTTGAATTGGATATTAAAATATAATTAGTTTTTTGTATTAGTTGTGCTATGTGATAGAAAAATATCTAACAAAATAAAAGGCAACTTTTAAAGGACAATAGTGACCTGTGATTATATATGGGATTGAATGTTGGCCCCCGAATGCCCAACATGTTCACAAGATGAATGTTGCTGAGATGAGAATGTTAATATGGATGTTTGGTTACATAAGATTGGATGAATTAGAAATGGTCGCATCCAACAAAAGATACAAGTAGTCCAAATTGGGGATAAAATGAGGGGAGGGCGTTTGAGATGGGTTTATCATGTCCTACATATACCCTTAGATACTCTAGTTCGTGATACGTTGATGTCGAAAGTGTCAAACGAGGTAGAGGTAAACTTAGAACCACATGAAGAGAAGTTATTTCTACGGATCTATTATTTTTGGACATTAGTGAGGATGTGGCTATGAATAGAGCAGATTGGAAGCAAGGGATTCATATAGATGACTCCAACTAGTTTGGAATTAAGGCCTCGTGTTGTTGTGTATCTGAATTTGGAGGGGTTTCACTCTTATTTTTTTTTTTTTGTTATTATATTGTTTTACGTTTCTTCTAGTGTTAGAGAATTTTAAAAATTTTCTTAGTACCTTTTCCATGTTTTAGACTCACGGTTAATCGGGATTTGGGCATTAATGTAACTAGTAAACATTTTTTAGACTGATTTTTTTTAAGTATATAAAGTGCATTATTATCATCTTACCATCATATCTCACATCTTTTGAAAGCCTGGTTGTGTATCACTCTGTTTTATACTCTTTCTGATAGGTGACATTGTGAAATATCTATTTCAGCAATATGGTAAAGGGAGAAACCCCTCAGTGGGACTCTTGGAAAGGTGTTAAGACTTGACATTTTTTTAATTGGTTGTATTTCTTTCTTTCTTCCTTCTTTTTTTTTTTTTTTTTTTTTTTTTTTTTACGTTCTTCTAGTGTTAGAAAAAAAGAATTCTTAAATTTTCTTTAGTACTTTTCATGTTGTTTAGACTCACGGTTGGGGATTTTTGGGCATTAATGTTAACTAGTAACATTTTTTAGACTGATTTTTTTGTTAAGTATATAAGTGCATTATATACATCTTCCATATATCTCCACATTTTTGAAAGCCTGGTTGTGTATCACTGCTCGTTTTATACTCTTTCTGATAGGTGACATTGTGAAATATTATTTCAGCAATATGGGTAAGGGAGAAACTGAGTGGGACTTGGAAGGTTTAAGACTTACATTTTTTTTTTATATTGGTTGATTTCTTTCTTTCTCCTTCTTTTTTTTTTTTTTTTTTTTTTTTTTTTTGTTTTTTGGTCTAACTAATCTCTTTCCTCTCCTCTTTTTTTTTTTTTTTTTTTTTTTGTTTTTTGGTCTAACTAATCTCTTTCTCTCCCTCTTTTCTTCAGCACCTTGTTTACAGGATGGATGCCAACAATTCTTCGTGCTGGCAGAGGGATGACCAAATGGGAAAGGGTGAAATTGGATCCACCACCCAAGAAGTTGGAGCTTTTCTCATATGAGAACAATCCAGTAAGAAAATGCTTTCTTATAACTATAGAATACAAATTTCTGTTTTATAAATGCTTTATATGTAGTCTCTTTTCTTTTGTTTGTCATCCACCTAGTAAGCAATACTTTTTACAGTAATTTTGTGTTTTCCCCTTCTCTCTCTTGTGAATAGTATGCAAGAATCATACGGGAGGCATTATGTGAATTGGAGCTTCCGTACATACTTCAAAACGTTGGAGCAGGATCTAAGAGAGCAAAATTGCTGCTAGATGTATCTGGATCGCAGGAGGTCAGCTTCCTTCAAACAATATCTAAGTATGCAGGGTGGCCTAGGTTCTGAACCTTCAAGGCAAAGTGATGCCCCGAAGTTTATTAACTGTGCTTCCTTGCATCGGCTATAACTAACGAAACATATTTATGTTGAAGAAGAAATTTTAAAAATGCTGTTTTTCATGAACTTATTCCTTCCCATTTTGATCTTTTAGGTGCCATTTTTAGTCGACCCCAACACGGGCACTCGAATTGGTGACTACAAGAAGATCTTAGCTTATATATTTGAGGCTTATTCAACAGCTCCAGAATAATCTTCTTCAACACCAGGTTCTACGTCACTTGAAAAATGCTAGTAGGCAATCATGTACATGCTGTATAATCTGTATTATATAATGTCATGACATACTGTACAATGTCATGACACACTGTATAATACTTAATTTAATGCCTAGAGGGATCTCTCTTACAATTGTTAGTTCGTGTTTCAACTTTTGACTTTGTTTAAATGATATTTGACACTACTGGATGGTGCTTTGAAGTAACATTTTTATTCAACTCACAATTATCCATAACCATGAACTCAAAATTATCCACGAATTCGATTTATTTTATAATCTTTATTTATTTAAAAAATAACTAAAAATAGTAATAGGATATAAATTATAATAATACTTGTGAAATTTGATTATGGGCTCGATCTAATTAAACTGAATTGTTGCAACTCAAAACTCAAAATTACATGACGTCTCATACTTCAAAATCATTTCTTTTCTGTAAATTATCTCAATTCCAAAAATAAGAATTGACAAAATCGAATTCATTTAAATTAAAGTCCTGCAAAATTTAGCTTCCCAAACAAGGGGTAAGGGATGGAGAAAAAGGCAACTCATGCACATAGAGGAATTGTAGCAAGATTATCACGTCTTCTCTGAACAAACATCTTCTGAAATTGCTCGAACCTACCATCCTTGATTGCTTCTCTTATTGATCGGAAGAACCCGAGGTAATGGTGGGTATTATGTCTGCAACATCAAGTCATCATCACAAAATGTTCTATTATTATCATGATGGTTATAATTACTGAAGAAAAAAGGATAATCATACATTTCTAATAGAATCTGAGCCAACATCTCATGGACGTTGAGGAGGTGATTGATGTAAGCTTTAGTATGATTCTGGCAAGTATAGCAACTGCAGCTTGCAACAATTGGTGATGTGTCTTTCCTACAAGAAAAGAAAACAAATCATCAAAACAAGTTTGCTTCATACTTGCTCTCTCGCTGATATATATGTAATTTTTTTTCTGGGCTGGTTTCTGATTTGAGTCCTTGGGTTTCCGAAGGTTGACCTATTTGAGAATTTCCAAATCTGCACTTATTTTCAATCCCTGAAGCAAAAGTTTGAAAAAAAAAAGGGAAGTCTCACGAAAATGGAAAAATTGGAGTCTCTTTTCATGTATTTCTGCATTTAACAACTTTCTTCGAGGATATAAAGAAAAAAAAAAGAGTTCTCAAAACGTCAGTTTCAGTACCAAATTCTAATTAAAGTCCATCTATAGTTTTAGCTGCTGATGGATTATTTTGTTATAACAAAGTTGAAAAAGTTAAAAGAAATTAACTAATTATACCTGTAAACGGTTGCTTTCAGGTTAATCTTTGTTTGGTCTATTCCCATCTCGGTTGACTGAAAACTGGAAGAATTCATTTCAATCTGGTCCAGTGGAAAGGTAAGTGCAAACCCTCCAAGTGTTAGATTATAAACATACCTAAGAAATGTTGCAAAAGAATGTCAAGAAGTTCCAAAGACAGTTCACGAAGAAAAAGAAGCTCAGAAAGACAAATTAAAAACTGAGGTCCATACGATGAATCAAAAAGATCAATGCCAGCAGCAACACCCTGCAACACCTCCTCTGTCAAATGCAAAATGGAAAATAGATATATTATCTGAAACCACGCAAGCCAGCAAAGTAATAGATATGTAGTAGATTTCACATTCGAGAAACACACGAAAACAGAGACAAAAAGTAAATCGATGATTGAGAAATAAAATATGTTCCTTGAATTAAAATTTCAAGGTGAGAGCATCTTTAAGGTAGTAGATTTGTAGTTAAACCATTAGGAAAGCAAAAACATTGTCGCCAATTTAAATTGTCTACAATAGATGCTAATATAACAGATGAATGTTTTCTAGGGGCAGGCAAATTGTCTATAATGGGCATATGCGAAAGATTTTGACTAGAAATCACAAAGTACAAATATGTCTCACATTGTGTTGTCTTTTCTAAAGAATTAAACAAGTCCACGAAAAAACAAAAAGAAAAACAACAAATAAGTAATCATTTAATTGCAATTTAGTAGATTTATGTATTGAAAATATTATTGAAGCTACATTAAAACTCAGTTTGAATTTAATCTTAAACCAGAATAATTATTAGCATTTGATGTATAAAAACACACATTTGTACCCAAAAAAAATAAAAGTTAAAAATATGAATCCACACCACACTTAACAATGTAGAGGAACAAAATTGCAGAACCACCAGAGATGCAACATGAACTCAAGAATTCTGGTATGATTTCCACACAAAAGAAACTAGAGAAGTTGTCATTTCTAGCTTTTACAAGGCTTAAATTCGAATCTAAGGCTTAAATTTTATTGTTACAGAATTCCAGAAATATAGTCAGTAATGATTTGAGAAAGAGGAATTTAAGTTTTTCTTGCATAAATATTTTCAAATAGACCAACAGATGACTGAAAATTAAAAATAAAAGAAAAGGACAAACAGAGATGATCCGCTATATAACGGCTGTTGAAGATTAAACAGCTTTAGCATTGATGATTATGGAAATCTCTTTACAAAATGAAATTTTAATATAAACAGTTAAAAAAAAAAAATTCTTACATGGACTTCCATCACTTCCATTCTCAAACTATGTAAAACCTCCATAGTTTTAGCATCTCTTTTTAAGTTCTAGGCCTGATTAGAATATTCATGTGGAGCTCAAATCAGAAAAGTTTAACCCCAGTAGCATAATTTATAAAATTTTCCAATAAAGTAAGACATAAGACTTATACGAAGTACCATTCATTACCAACAATCACAAGAACTTAAGCACTCAGGAGAAAGGACCAACATACGTGATATATCTTCGAACTCTAAAAAATTTCCACAGTTAGTGATTCAAGTGGTGATGAATTCAACACATAGGATAAAAGCATCCCCCAAGTGTAGCCCATAACATCAAAAGTCTGAAAGGAATAACTACAGCCAACCAAATACCTGGTAGTCCAAGCCCAGAGATAAGGCGCGGCTTTTCTCCTGGTAAACTTTCCTGAGCATTTCATAAGAGTATTAGAAACCCAGCATTATCAAAGGAAACACTCAATTTTTTCTGTGCCAACAACAATCTCCTACAAAAATTCCATGAACTCGTCAAATAAAGCCAAAAAGTAATTCATTTATTTTGTTTATTCATATTTTCATCCCACGAAGTTTTAGACAAAAAAAAAAAAAGCCTTGCATAGAGAAATCAACACGACTCCCAAATTAATACGAGGCAAAGCAAAATTTAATGAAATACCATAAAATATAATATCACCTGAACCCTGCAATCTGAAAATTTTTTCATATTTTGGCTTGCATTAGTTGACAGTAGTTCAAAGTGAAATAAGAAATCCAAGATAATATTATCTAATGGGACATGAATCTTTATTTGTTCCTGTTTAAAACATTAGCAATGAAGTGAATCGGCCACTTAATAACAGTAGAACATCTTACAATTACGGTATCAATCAAAGCAGGGCGCTCATCCATGCTCTCACCAAGCCCAAATCCTCCAATCCAATATCCTGCAGCAAACTTTTTCTTATCAGTTTGAGAAGATGATTAAACCAAGGGTAAATTAGATTTTCATTCCAGAAGTTTAACCAGAATTACAAGTCAGCATAATGATTGTTAAAAATTACAATTCTCTCTCATATTTTTTTATCATCTTTTATGAGTCCCCGTTGTCACAATTTCATATGTTATTTTACGAATGCCCCTATAATAAAGCCTAAAAATTACTCTTTTGCTTGAACAATTTCAAAGCATACAAGCAATGGAAATTCACACCATCAGAGAACAAACTATGCCGATGCACTAAATCTGTGTGCTCTAACTTTAATAACATAAAGTTAAACAACTAGCTAGTACTGCCACTCTCAAATTCACAACTAGAAGGTGAAAATCAAGAGAGAAAAACTGATAAAACTATAACCATATCACAGAAAAATATTTAAAAAATGCATGAAATTTTGAGTATGAAATGCTCACAATTGTGAACAATGGAACAGTTCATAGCCAACGCCAATATCCTTAATTAGAGTAAAATTAGTATAAGAATAGTCTCCCTTACCAATGGAAGGGTGGTTACAAGGAAGGATTTTTTGAGCTTTGGTTTCTTTAGTTTGACTTATATCACTTTTTTTTGAAATAATTTATTTTTTATTTTAGTTCTCTCTTATTATTATAAGCTTTTTGGCGTGGTTAATAAAGTTGTTACATGAACTTTTAAGTTCACGTAATTAGAGAAAATGGTTACAATCATACAATTATAAATTGTAGAGTATCTGATTTTGAATCATAATCATAAGCAAACCTATGGGATGACAATGTAATTAAACCTAAGGAAAAAATAAAATACAAACTTTAGCATGTCAAAACAAGACTTCCAAGTATATATATATATAAAAACACGCACGCATGCCCGCTCGCAAAGCAAGTAGAAATCCTCGAAATCGAGGGCATACAAGAGACAGCAAAAAAAAAAAAAAAAAAAAGAAAAAAAAAAAAGGAATAAATCAACAAGATAAATAGCTCACCAAGAATAATAAGCTGAAAAATAAATTTATGCTTTTCAACATAATTCATATCTTACAATTGTACAAATGGGCTGGAAGTTTTATTGCTACTTCATTCTAGTCAACAGAGAACAAAGCATATTGAAAAGGATTAAAATCCGGACAAAAGGGAGGGGAGGCTAATAGCATTTTTTTCATCTTTCATCACAGCTCCTCATGTTAGAAACCAATACTGAATGGTTTAATAAGCATCAATGTAAAGACTAATATCCTGACACAATTTTCTCTTGGCTAATTTCTTCAGCACATCTTTTCCTTTTCATCTCATTTAGACCCTCCAAACAAAGCTCAAAAAAAAAAAAAAAAAAAAAAGGAATAAATCACAAGATAAAAGCTCACCAAGAATATAAGCATGAAAAATAAATTATGCTTTTCAACATAATTCATATCTTACATTGTACAAATGGGCTGGAAGTTTTATTGCTACTTCATTCTAGTCAACAGAGAACAAGCAAATATTGAAAAGGATTAAAATCCGGAAAAGGGAGGAGGCAATAGCATTTTTCATCTTCACTTCACAGCTCCTCATGTAGAATCCAACTGAATAGGTTAAAAGCATCAATGTAAAGACTATACCTGACACATTTCTCTTGGCTATTTCTTCAGCACATCTTTTCCTTTCATCTAAATTAGACCCTCCAACAATAGCTCCAAAAACAACCCCATCTGCCTAAATTCAATAGTTAAGACAGGAACAAACTTAGATAAATGCATTATTTCATCTTCATTTTTTCAAGTATGATGGTTTCATAATTAAGTACTGTAAAGACAACTATTATGAAGTCCTGCAAATTACATACCAGGATCATCAAATTTCTCTCAATTTAAGATAATTGAAAATAGAAAGCAAAAATACAAGCATAGAAAAGATTTCAAAAGCTGGCTGAGAATCTGCTTATGGCATTATAATAACCCATAGTTAATTTATAATTGGCATCCTAGCAGGGCCAAGGCTCATAAGTATTGCATATGATACAGCCCCGTGGTACAATAGATACCACATAAAAAACTTACTTCAATCCAAGACTACAACATATTATAACAAGCACATAAACTATATAACAGCAGCAGGCAATCATATTCCAAGATGGATCATTTCAGACAATATACTAAATGCAGCCAAAAGGAGAAGACAATTGCTTTTTTACCAGGCTAAGAGCAATGCATTCGTCAAGCCATTTTACAGTTCGATCCACCGAAATCCTGTTCCTCTTATCAGATACCCATGCAGGTACTTCATCAGCCAAGGTAGTCCAAATGTTTGGCTTCATGGAAGAAATCATTTGCAAGTATTCTACAGGTTTAATCTGCAATATTTGATCAATTTGAAAAATTCAATAAGAAATCCAGCTACAAGATAAAATAACAAAAGGATGAATTACATCTGATGTTGACACATTTGAGAATCAAGCAAGTGAAATTACCAAAATGCGACCACAAGGAGTCTCAAAAGATGCTCCAAGTTTATTTGTACTGTTACTTTCTGGAAGAATTTGAACAGAATCCCTTGCTACAGCAGCAAATGCATGTTCATCTAATCCAAGCATTTGATGGAGCCCCCCAATGTTTGATATTGTTTTCATAGAAAGGCCCTCCAAGCTGCAGAATGAAAACATGTCATCAACATCATGTGACATTGAGACCAAAATATAACAATTTTTCAAAAATTAAATATCACAGTACATCACTTTTCTTCCTTTTCTTTTCATCAAAAGAGAAAGTTGGTCCTTCTAGGAATAATCATTGATCAGAGATCATTCATTGTAATAGAACACAAAGTTAGGTTCCATAAACTTGAAAGGGTACTTAAATCAAGTCTTCTGACAGCACTTTATTCTGCCTAACACCATAAAATAATAAAAAGATGCTGAGGTTTACCATATGCAAGGATGCAGTAATACCAACAATGCGAGCTCAACAAAATGTGCAAAACACAATCATGCAGTGATCTTGATATGATTGACCCAGGCACACTGAAACAATCCAGCAAATCCAATCTCTTATAATACCCAGAATCCACAGGCACTTGCCATTTGTTATTTTCTTTTCTTAAACATGACTTGTTCTCTAAATACAAGAAAAACTTATCTTTGCACAAAATTATGATGCAAGAAGGAAGCAACTAACTCTCTCCTTCCACTTCCAAAAGGGTAAATGAGGTGATGACTTTCCTTCTTTTAAAATAAGAAATAGACGAAGAGAAACCTAGAGAGAGAGGGAATGGATGCATCCAGCTTTGAGAGGCAGCTGACCTCAAACCATATATACTAAACTGGAAAAGCAAGAATTCCATGGATATAGTTGTAACATGGATAGAATCAGTTGCACTGTCTAATATCATAATCCCAAAATTTTCAAATATGAAAAAAAAAAAAAAAAAAATCCAACTTTCCTATAAAATTAGGTTAAAATAAAGTTTCCAACTTTCCAGAAATTAGGTGGCATTCACAAATCATACATGCTCCTATACACAGGAAACCTCATATCCTACTGATGTGTTAATAATACAGCTCCTCTTTTTTTATTCCAATCCGATGCTTTCCCACTTCAGCAACAGTATTCACCGCAGCAAATACATTCAGTTACTCTAAGTAACAGGTTAATGAAAAAAAAAAAAAGGAAAAAAGAAATACTAGAATCAAAAGAATGAATTGAATGCATTTAGCCACTAATATACGTCTTACATTACATTCATGTTACCAGTTGACAATGGCATTAAAGTCGCGATATTTTCTCAAGACTATCAACTTAAATCAAAACTCACAACAAGCAGTGACGGCGCTTATATATTTATCTACAATACCCATGTTCCATATTAGTAGAAATAGCATGATTTTACATAAACCAAACAGCAAACACCTTCTATGCATTCTTGAACCACCAAATGCTTAAACATTTTTGTTACCATCAATAGAGAAAACAAGTGAGAAGAGAAAGAAAATAAAAGAAAGACAAAGTTCCGACGAACTCACAAGTGAAGCGGACTAAATTGGAGAAGAGCAGAGTCAGGGTAAGGGAGAGAAGGAAGGAGGTCAGGAGAGATAAAATGGGGCAGCCCTTTACGTGTAGAGAGGAGGAGAGCTGGTGTTTCTACTGGGGAAGTGCAGTTGCCGACATGGAGAACTCCTGTTCGAGCTTTGCCGCTGCTCCATGCCTTCACCGCGAAATTCATGCTTCCTCCTCCCTTGCGTTGTTGGTGCTCTGAAGAAAGGTTGCCCTCATAGTAGCGCCTTAAGCGGGTAATGCTTAGTGGGTTACTGTTCCAATAACAGTAACTTGATTCTAACATGGCCCATTCTAAAACGTCTGCGTTTCGGTCTAAAACAATTCCCTACTTCAGTAAATAAATCCCTATGCTCTCTTTCATAAACATCTCTTTGCTACTGCTCCCTAAAATACCGTTCACCGATCATCGGTCAGTCCGTTTCATCTTCCAGTCCAGTTGAGGCAGCGTAACAACATTGACTCAAACACACAGTTCATCTTCCAGAACACTCAAATCATCACTCGGGTGAGTAATATTTCTTTTTTTTTTTTTCCTTTATGATTTGTTTCTTATTTTCCGTTTTTTTTTTCGGAAAGCAAAGCTCTATGTTTCTTTCCTTTCTTTTTTTCACTGTCTCCGTCTCTCGATTTTCCCCCTCTAAAATCTCTGAATGTGGGGTTTCAATTGATATCTCTTTGTTTTGTTCTTTAAAACTCAGCAATTTTTGGGTATTAAATTTCTCTAATTTATTTATTTAATGGATATCTCTTTGTAATTACTGAATTTTGTTTCTTGCCGTATGCCGTCAAATGTTTACGGAACTTTTATCTCATTTTAGTTGATATATATTTATTTTAACGTGCTTTCAATATTTTTGCAAGAACTTGAAACCATTATCCTTTAGTTGAGCATTTTCTGAAAAATACTCTGGATGGTGATTGAATTGAGTTTAATATGTAAAACTTGGTCTTAGGGAGCCTTCATCTCACTGTGATTGATAGTTTTTTTTTTTTAAGACGTCTTCAAGATTTTTACAAGAACCTGAAATTATTTTCCTTCGGTTGAGCTTTTCTGATAGATGCTCTGAGACAAGTTTATTTATATCTTTTTTTGACTGATATTTGTTGCTTATATTTTCTTTTTTCTTTTCATTAGGTTGCTTTGTTCACATTTGACATTATGATAATGATAATGATAACTTACATTTAATTTTGACATATCAATTACTTTGTTCTGCATTCTTGATATGGCCTAATTTCTTGAAGTTCCAATATAACTTGCTGTCCATTTTTTGTCATTTTCAATTTATTTTCTCATTTTTATAGTGTTCCTTTTCCATATGGTAAATCCATATGCATGAAATAGAAAGAATCTGTGAGTAGTATAGCAATGTCAAATCCAGTAGTTGGTTAGACTAACAAAATTGTTGGAGAAATGAATGGCAAGGGAAATTAGTACAAGAGAAGAAATATAAATACTTTATGAAATCCGAAATGGCGAGAATAGTTACTGGATTCTTATTATTGAATTCGGATATGATTGAATAATATTAAATATTTTTATTTGTTTATTATTTGGTGTATTGCCAGTGAATTAAGGTATAATTTAGAAACCTTTCTGGAACACATCCTTTTCTAAGAACCGACATAAATATTTTTCTCTTGAAGAGGTGTTATTTACTGTGAAATTGTGATTCATATATAACCAGTACTGACATTTAGTGTAATAAATTAAAAAATATTCTATATGAAATGAAATTTCTTAAATAAAAAATGTTAGAAATTGTGTATCATGGAAACTCATATTGTAAAATGGAGTGGAATTGCAATCCTTTTGGGTTTGGTTTTGCCATTTTAGGTTATTCGTTGATGCAATTCTTTGTATTGTTCTTTAAAACTTAGCTATTTTGAAGGAATGAAGTTTCTCTAATTTATTTATTTAATGGATATGCCTTTAGAATTACTGGATTTTGTTTTATGTGTGTTGTGAGAATGTTTAGGGAGCGTTTATCTCATTGTAATTAATTGTGTTTTTATTCGAGTGATTTTTGCAAAAAATTGAAATTATTATCTTTTGGTTGAGCTTTTTCTGCTAGTACTGTATGAGGATGGACACTGACTGAGCATAATAGTAAAACTTGATCTTAGAAGATGTATTGTACTTTTTGGATTAACTTTTAGAACAGTTGATTGTTGCTTTTCATATTAGTTGGTTAAATTTTAGATTTTATGAATTGTTCATGCTTTTTAGCCAGGGCTACTAACTCCTCACAAAAGTATTTGACCATTTGGATGTTTATTAATGTTGTTTTGTGGCTATATATATATATGCTTTTTGTGTTAGTTGGTTAAATTCTAGATTTTATGAATTGTTCATGCTTTTAGCCAGGGTTACTAACTCCTTACAAAAGTAATTGACCATTTGGATGTTTATTAATATTCTTTTGTGGCTATATATATATAAATATATATATATATATATATATGTTGCTTACGTTTACTTTTTCTTTTTCTTGGGTTGCATTTTTGACATTTGAAGTTATGATATGGATTCTTTGTCTGATTACATAGTATATGATAACTTGATATTCAATTTTGACATGTCAATATTTTGTTGTGGATTCTTGATGTGGCCTGATTTCTTGATGTTCAAATCTAACTTGCAGTCCACTTGTGTCATTTTCAATTTATTTCTCATTTTCTTTAGTGTTCCTTTCCCATATGGTAAATGCATCTGCATGAAATTGAAAGAATCTGCGAGTATTGTAGCAATGTCAAATTAAATTGTTGGTTAGACTAAAAACGTTGTTGGAGAAATGAATGGCAAGGGAAATTAGTACAAGATAAGAAATATACCTCTCTATGAAATCCGAAATGTAAGAATAGTTATTGGATCCAGAGATAACTGAATAAATATTGAATGTTTGTATTTGTTTATCATTTGGTGCATGGCCAGTGAAATTAAGATATAAACAAGAAACCTTTTTGGAAATCATCCTATTCTAGGAACCAACATCAATATTTTTCATGAAGAGGTGTTATTCACTGTAAAATTGCGATTCATTTATTACCAGCACTAACATTTATTACAACTAATTCAAAAATGTTCAATTTGAATGAAATTTCTTAAGAAAAAAATTGTGTATCATGGAAAGTCGGAACTCGTCATGTAAAAAGGAGTGGATTGTGCTCCTTTTGGCTTTGGCTTTGGCTTTTTCATTTTGAGTTATTTGCTGATGCTATTCTATAGGTCTCTTGTTAAAATTTAAAACATTTTCTGTTGTATCATCTCCTGAGTACATACTGTTGTTGATGATACAGCTTTTCATAGATGAAGATGCAGATGCCTTGGAAAATATGTGCTGGTTGTCAATCTTGATGTCTGCCTCAATCTGTTTGCCAATAGTTATACAAAGATACTTCATTTTCAAATAAGCTGTTGAGATGGTAGTGGAATCCATGAGGAAACCTTCTAAGGTGCTAGATACAAACCTTTTGAATCATGTGCTTCTGATGAGCTATTTGTTATAAAATTTTGACATCATATATCAAGCTTTTACTGTTTGAATAGAATAGTAATTTAAATTGCATAGTGGATTTTGAATGTAATGATTTCTAATATTATTATTAGTTGCTACGCTTTATTCTTTTAAATTTAGGGGTCGATGAAAAATGGTATTTGACTTAATCTTAGGCTTAATGGACTTGTAATTTGAATTTAAATTTTTGTTTCTAATTTATTGTTCTTTTAATCATAAGGTTTGTCAAATCCTGTTTGATAGTGTATAATTTGGTTATTATAGTGGGCTTAGTTTAAGGTTTTGGACTGCCTTCGTCCAATCCAGCACAACCCTCTTTCTCCTTCCATCATCTACCCTGAATTGGTATGATGAAAACCAAATGCAATTTTTGTGGAAGTAGATTATGAGGAGCTTAAAACCTGTCCCAGAGTCTTGATGTTAGATTCTATGAAGGTGCAGAAGGGCATTATTTTCTGCTATTTGTTAGTTTCTATGAAGGAGTGGAAAGGCATTTGTGTAGTTTTAGCTGCACCAGAGCAACTCAGACGACCACAATGATGATGAAGAAGCAACAGACAATGGCAATTAATTTCAATTTTAATAAATTTTAGATGCACCAAAGTTTAATAAGTTTTATTAGTTTCGATTTATTTTAATCCAAAAAAATGATTTTCAATAAAAATATTAATTTTAAATTATTTTATATAATATTAATTGAATACGGGTTCAACCCCAGTTGACCCTCTAACTCTTAACCCTCTGCTTTCACCGGGTCGATGACCAGGGTCTGAGATGGGTCTAAAACCGAGCTTAATTGGTTTGAAACTGATATTCATGTGAATACAAGTTGCTTCTCCCAACTGAAACCTTACTGAAAAGTTAATGTTAGAATTAACTTTTTTGTTATCTATTTTACTGTGATAGCTATGCATATTTCTTTCCTTATTGTCTTTATGTTTCTCATTTTATTACTAATAGATATGAAGTTAGTGTAATAATTCAAAATCAAAACTTCTGCATTTTATGGTGGCCAAAAGGCTCATAGCTTTTTTTTTTTCATTTTTATCCGGATGACACATGAAACATAATTGGATTATAAATTGGTTGATTGAGGTGCTATCTTAGGATGGTGTTCTTGTCCAATTTTGAAGATGGGTTTTGGGAAAGTGACACATAAGGAGGTACGGGTTCTATACCTTTTTAAAAATTAAAGAAGTTAGTTTGAATTCAGAGATCATTTAGTTTGATTTGCTGCTGTCTAGAGTAAAACCAAAGTTGCTTTGTTTTGAAAATGAGTGTTCTCTACTTACAGTTCAGGTGAATTTAGTTGCAATTTGAGGTTTTCTGTGTATAATATTTTATACTACCTGTTACAAATGGGTTTGAGTTTATGATTTTTCTTTTTAGTTAATTGATTTTATTTTTTTACAGTTGAATTCAATATGCCACAGTGAAGCACAGTAATAACTGCTTGTAGTAAGAATAAATAAGGATAACTCCATTTTGTTTTCTCCTTTTTATCTTCCTTCCATCCAAACATCAGGATGGAAAATTACTAAGAAAAAAAGCAGTACAATACTTCATAATTTTTCCCTCTTATTTTCCTTCCTCCATTATTTTCCTTCCTTTCCTTTACAAACAGTGTTAGAGACTGCTTCGCACTCAGCCACCACCCACCACCCATGTTGAGAAGGCAGATCATAACCCTTGTTAAGTGCCATTAAGCAAGACAGTGGCGAACCTCTTTTTCCGTCTCTAAGAATCAGCAACTGCCCTGAAATAGAGGTTCTCTCTTCCTTTTTCCTATATATGCCTACATGTCCTGAATTGATTCTTTTATACATACCAAAAAATCACGATAAGTTATCATTACTGTTATTTCTAGGGTTTCATTCTCCTCTACTGCACTAAAACCCTAACCATGGAGGCTGTGGCTGAAAACGCTAGCACCAGGAGTCTCCAATATCCATCCTCCCTATCACAATCTCACCAGTACTGCACTGACCTTGACGCTGTTGATATTTCCTCATCAGCTAGACGCTTCTGTGATATCCTTAACAGAGCGTCACCTCACGATGTTGAATCTGCGCTCTCCTCTAGTGGAATTCCACTCTCAGCAGACGTGGTCCATGAAGTCCTCAAACTTTCTTACGATAATGCCTCTTCTGCTGTGGTTTTCTTTCGATGGGTTGGAAGGGCTCTTAAGCCCACTCCTTATGCGTGGAATCTGATGGTGGACTTGCTTGGCAAGAACCAGCTATTTGAGTCCATGTGGGATGCAATTCGCTCTATGAAACAAGAGAACATGTTGTCAATGGCAACATTTGCTTCTGTTTTCGGGAGTTATTGTTCAGCTGGTAGATTTAATGAGGCTGTGATGAGCTTTGATGTTATGGATAGGTATGGTATTGAGCAAGATATTGTTGCGGTGAATTCACTTTTAAGTGCATTTTGCCGCGAGGATAATCATACTCTTGAGGCATTGGAGTTTTTTGAAAGGATCAAGTCTAAGATACCCCCGGATGGTGATACATTTGCTATTTTGTTGGAAGGGTGGGAGAAGGAAGGCAACGTGGCGAAAGCAAAGACTACTTTTGGTGAGATGGTGATAAGTATTGGTTGGAGCAAGTTGAACATGCCGGCTTATGATGCCTTTTTGACTACACTTATACGCGGGTCTCAAGCAGATGAGGCTGTCAAGTTCCTTCAAGTTATGAAGGGGAAGGATTGCTTACCAGGTTTGAAATTTTTCTCTAATGCTCTTGATATGCTTTGTAAGCAGAATGATTTTGTTTATGCTGTCCCAATGTGGGATATAATGGTGGGTAGTGGGTTGGTACCGAATTTGATAATGTACAATACTATGATTCGGTTGCTTTGCGACAACAGTGACATTGACAATGCGGTTCGGTTGCTTGATGAGATGGTCTTTCATGGAGCTTTTCCTGATCTTTTTACTTATAACATGATTTTTCAATGTCTTATAAAAAACAAGAAGGTTTGGCAAGTGGGCAAGTTCTTCTATGAGATGATCAAGAATGAATTTCCTCCAACACATATTAATTGTGCCACAGCCATCACAGTTCTGATGGACGGGGATGACCCTGAAATGGCTATCGAGATATGGAACTACATGGTTGAGAACAATGTGATGCCGCTTGATGAGAGCGCAAATGCCCTTCTTATAGGGCTTTGTAACCTGGGTAGGTTGTCAGAGGTGAGGAGGTTTGCAGATGATATGCTTGACAGAAGAATCAAAATATATGAACCAACAATGAAAAAGTTGAAGAATGCTTTCTATAAGGAGGGTAGAAGTGCAAGGGACAGGTTTGATAGCCTTTCAAGGAGATGGGAAGCTTTCTAGATATGTTGCTGCGAATTCCTGTTTTTTTTAGTCTTCTAGTAAAAAGATTAAACTCTCCTTCTGGTATGAAAACATTTTTGGAATGTGGCAGTCATCAATGGAAAAGATTTTAGATGAGCATAACTCTTTCCTCTGCCTTCTCATGAGCACATCTATTCTTCTTTTCTCATCTGGTGTATGCAAGTAGTGGTACCTCGAGAATGGGATGATCAAATTACTTGATCTGGTGGATAACCAATCCGATCCGATCTGAATGGAACAGATAAAATCTGCTCAAATTTAATGGTGGATCGGATATGTATTTAGAAATTAAATTCGACTCGGATATGGACCGAATACAAATATAGCACATAATCCGATGTGAGTTCGATCTATGATGGGTAATTTTGTCTTTTTCTTATATTTTTAAATTGCTTATTGTAATTTTAGATGTGCAGTTGCTTTTATTTTTTCTTTTCCATCAATATTTTAATATTTCTCTACACTTCTTTCACCCCTTTTGTATTTGTTTTACTTTACATGAAGCAAAAGAATAAGAGTTGGACCATGCAAAAATTTTTTGCACTTCACAATTATTGAAGTCTTTTCCATTCGGTGTACAATGTTTGTGTTTTCAAGCATAATGAACATTAAACATGTGATATTTTGTTGAATTATTGTTATCTTTTTTTTTTTTTTTCTAGCATCATAAAAAATGCATTTGATCTGAATTCGATTAAACCAGATATATTTATAGATGTATGAAAATCTTGATGGGTCAAATATGAATTTTGTGTAATCCGATAAGAATCTGATTCATGATCATCCATGTCCAGAAGATGAGATATTGATCCTTCCCGGTTGGTAATCTCGAGATTTTGTATATTATACTACAGTATACACTGAGTTAAGGCCAAATTGGCATGGTCTCTTGTAATTTTTATTTTGGAACAAATAAATCTCATAAATTTACAAAATTTATATTTTTTTGAAATAAAAAAATATGGATTTTAATTTTCGGAATTCAATTTTATGGAATTGAATATAATTATATCAAATTCCCAAAAAAAAAAATGAAATTTTCAAATGAATTTCATGAAACTAAGTAATTCAATTTTATATGATAAAATTACCCTCTATCTTTTAAAAGTGATATTGTTTATTTTTTATTTTACTTATTTAACTTATTAATTTTATCAAAATTTATTAAAACCATTTAAATTTTAATTTTTTTTTAAGAAAAACAGAAATACATTCATCGTTTGTTATTGACAAAAAAAAAAAAAAAAAATGTAATATTATACCTACAGTTATCCACTGAGTTAAGGCCAAATATTGGCAATGGGTCCCTCTTGTAATTTTTTTGGAAGCAAATATCTCATAAAATTTACAAAAAATTTATAATTTTTTTTTGAAAATAAAAAAAATATGGATTTTAATTTTCGGATTCAATTTTATGGAAATTGAATATAATTATATCAAAATTCCCCAAAAAAAAAATGAAATTTTTCAAATTGAATTCATGAAACTAGTAATTCAATTTTATAAGTGGTATAAAATTACCCTCTATCTTTTAAAAAGTGATATTTGTTTTATTTTTTTATTTTACTTATTTTAATTATTAATTTTATAAAATTTTATTAAAACCAATTATTAAATTTTACTTTTTTTTTAAAGAAAAACAGAAATACCCATTTCATCGTGATTGTTATGACAAAAAAAAAAAAAAAAAAAAGAGACTAAAACAGTTATGATTTCTTTTAGTAAATAATTAGTCCGAAAAAAAAAAAAAAAAAAAGAGAAACTAAAACAGTATATTTCTTTTAGTAAATAATTAGTCGCAGAGGTAATTAATCCTTTATGACAATATTTTATGTGGCATTACGAAAATAAAGTGTCAGATAGGCTATAAAAATAATGCTTTTTTCATTTTTTTTTTCATTATGTCATGTAAAAGAATACTTAACAAATTTCATAAATTTAATATATTTATTAAATTTATTAAATTGTGCCCTAATAAATTATCATACATTAAAATTATACTTTCAATCATATAATATTTATTTTAATTACAACTATTATCAGGAATTTTATAATTATAATATATATCACATAAAACCTATATATAATATTAATACTTAATTAATTAGATGAGACGTGGGTGTATTTATTTATATAAATTTTATTATTTATATTTGAATAAAAATAAAGTTATTATATTACATATAAAAAAATATAATTAGTGGTTGTTTTTTTTGTTTTTGTTAAATTATTATGTCAAGGATATTTGAGGCAATGAAGACAAATGAATTTTTATTTAAGAATTATTCAATACATAATTTTATAGAATTTCAATTGAATTCCTTATATCAAATTATGACATACCAAATATAAAAAATTCATTTATAGGTAGAATTCATTTCCATAGTTCATTTGTTTCAAACATAGTTTAAGGATGAAAAATCATAAATAAATAATTAACTGTATAATTAACAATTGATATATTATATATAGGCAAACAAGCATAATTCTATTAAAAAAAATAAAATAGAATATTATAAACTTGGATTAATGGAATGGATTTCACCATAAATACATAACCAAAAGATGAAAAATGTAAATTAAAAGAAAAAAAAAACAGAAAATCATTAAGGATATAATTAAATTTAAAAAGAAAATGGGCTAATGTTGGTCCAATACTCCTATTTGGTGACTTGGGCAATCATATTGCTTATTGAGGTAGATTGCTCCTTTGCCATCTCCACTAATGAATCCTGCATTTAAAACTCAAAAACAATTAATAAAAATTAATTATATCTCTCAAACCATAATTATTATAATTGAGAAAATTAATTATACATACATGTGCCGTCATTAATCGAATTACTGTTCTCTTGCTTGATTCTTGAAGCTCTCCAGCAATCACAATCTCGTCCAAGATATAATAAGCCTGCAGCTAAGTTACATTTTATATGAGAATTTTATTATTATTATTATTATTATTTATACACGTATTTTTACGCTCAGATTGAGAGTAATATTCAAATAAAATCTGAAGTTTATATTCAGATGAAATCTTTTAACCTAAATTTCTCTAACGATTTATGAGAATTTGTTTTTCTTTAACAATTTGAAAAGCAATTAATGTATATATGTAATCAAAGTATACCTTGTGAAAATTGAAGATCAAATCCAATTCACAAACCTAATATGAAATAAAGAAAAAAAAAACAAAAATCAGTTTAATTAAAACATTATAATAAATAAAATAAAATAATAATTTCAAGAATAAGAATAATTACACTGCCAAAATAACGATCCAATATCTCAACATAATGATGGATAATATCAAGAACCTCTAATTCATTATCCTTTTGATCAATGCACATGCAGAAATACAAGCCGGCATACCTGCTCAACATACAATTTTGTTTTTTAAATTATAAATAAAAATTTCAAGAAAAAATAAATTCTTTTTTTAATTTTTTTTTAAATACCTACTGTTAGAAACTTGCATGGATATATTGAAATAGAGAAAATAAAAAATGAAAAGAAGATAGTTGAAGACTTATGATAAAACCTTCTGTAAACGACTTTTAGTCCTCTCCATTCCACAAAGTTACAGAGTCTTGGACCGCGATTCAGTACTATGCCACTCAGCTCACGGATTACCTTTGCAAAATTTTTCAATCATAAGCTTTGAACAACTACATATATATACCTTTGCAAATTTTTCACATCATAAGCTTTGGAACAACTACATATATATAATATATATATATATTATATATATATATATAAAATAAAAAAATATCTATGTATGCTAATTGGAAACCATTTGCTATAGTTAATCCTATTATCCAATATTTAAATATTTATAATCCAAATTGGTAAAAGTATAATCATAAAACATTTTGGGATTTACGCTAAGAATGATGACTATTAATAAGATGAAAAGATAATGGAGCAAAAGAGAAAATTAATCATAAATAATTGAAGATTTTATGATAATGAGCAGTCATGAACTTTAAAATGAGATTAATTTTGTATTGAAAAAGGGTATAGGAATACTAGTGGGAAATCTTTTGACACGATTAAATATATATTTTGAGATGATCACAAAAAAAAAAAAAAAAAAAAAAAAAAAAAAAGGAAATAGTACCCTGGATCTTTTTTTTGTGAATTAGGGGAATACCATTTGGTACTACTTCTGGCGACATATAAGAAAACAAGTGAACTGAAAATATAAAGCTCAATCATCAAATCCCCTGTTTTTTTTTTTTTTTTTTTTTTTTTTTGAGAAAATAAATCCTTGGTTTCTAATGGAAAAAGTAGAAAAGTTAACTCTAATAAGTGATTCTAATTTTATAAAAGAAAGTAAAGAGAAAAGTCTATATGACATATACATTGCTGGAAATGAATGAACTTTTTTTTTTTTTTTTTTTTTTTGAGAAATAAATCCCTTGTTTCTATGGAACAAAGTAGAAGTAAACTCTAATTAATGTTGATTCTATATTTATAAAAGAAAGTTAAAGAAGAAAAGTCTAGACATATACCATTGCTGGAAATGAAGAACTTGCAAGATCTTTTATGTTTATTCCCTTTCTTTTGTTGATGTTGTGAGTTTCACTTTAGAAAGAAAGAGTACTAGTGAAATTACTCAATGGCGCTTTTCATGCATGAGTTTTAACAAGTCTTCCTATGTTTTCTCAACAAAGTTTGAAACTTTTGAAGGCACAATTAGCCTCATTCAATTATTTATTTATTTATATGGACACTCAATGGATCAAAGTAATATTCCGGATAAAATAACAGAGATGACTCAAATTCAAAACCTCACACTTCTCACAAAAGTGAGAAACCAACCACTAAACTTGGTTGACGATTGTTTTTTAACCTTAAAAAAGAAAAATGAGAGTGAGGAAGCAAATGAATAGGCTTACGTACCACATCTTAAACCCAAAACCTTAAGACAATGGGCTTATGGGTCCTTCCTACCTATATACTACTCATGGAAAATGAAAACTATTCATCCCATAACAGGTTTGTGAATATGTAGTTGTCTGATAATAATCAAGAAATATTCGCCTTTCTACTGAACAGGGTGTATTAAACTCATAATTCATTAGGTACTTTTTATGAATGTTAACTAAGTATCGTAAATAAATTGTTCTCGGCTCTTCAAGCATTTAATTACCAGAGTCATTCTTTGATAAATGATCACTCTACGTTAAGACTCAATAGAATTTGATCAATTCTGCTTTTTGTTGTTAAGGTGTAGAATTAAACCAAATTATCAAAATTTCTTTTCAATTTGGATTTTTTTCTCAATTACACTCATACTTTTGACTATTCAGTAGGTTTATCACATTTTAGGTAATTAGTTTTATAATAATTGCACAATAATTTATTATCAACAAAGGAAATTTATAAATAAATAATTTTTTATTACATGAAAGTGAATTATCAACTAATTTTAGAGCTTCATATAATTTTATCTCTAAAAAGAACTTTGGATTTTGATTTATTCTGATGGACTCAAATAACGTTATGGACTATGCAACAGGAGTAGCACTTCCTTTAATTCATTAAATTAGCAAAAATTCTTATAATAGAAAAGACTTAAACTTAAGACTTCTCACTCTTTAAAACTAATTTGTGTATTGATTACAACTAAAATTAACTTGCAAATAAAATGAATTTAAACTAATTTGTGTATTGATTACAACTAAAATTAACTTGCAAATAAAATGAATTTAAACTAATTTGTGTATTGATTACAACTAAAATTAACTTGCAAATAAAATGAATTTAAACTAATTTGTGTATTGATTACAACTAAAATTAACTTGCAAATAAAATGAATTTAAACTAATTTGTGTATTGATTACAACTAAAATTAACTTGCAAATAAAATGAATTTCATATTCGATTCATTATGTGTAAATGAATTTTTGTGTTTGAATCAATAATAGAATCTATTTTAAATATTTAACTTACTAGTTTATCTCAGTAATTCATTAGTTTTACTCACTTATATTCATTGTAAGTTAAAAAAAAAATTGTAAATTCTATTAATTTTGGTATAAACCACCGGTATCTAGATCCTATGACCACCTAATCCAGCTCAAGGCTTACCAAAAATTATAATTTTGATAAATTTTAATAAAGAATTACCAATTCCACAATATTAAAAATAGGCTCAATCATAAATTCACCCCAATACTTTTTACGAAAAACCTTACGGCACTCTCAACTTTTACTTTGACCTATTGAACACTTAAACTTATAAAATTGCACCTATCAAACACTTTAATTGATCTACAGAACATTTCAACTTATAAAATCATATCAATTAAACACTTACTGGATAGTCAAAAAATATGAAAATTATTGTTTCAAAAGTTGTATTAACAACATATCAAATCAATATTTTGTATATGAAAATCAAAAATCTTAAAATTTTGTTTTTAGCGTGACGAGGGGTGAGATTTTTGAAAAAAGAGAAATTGAGGGTACCACAAGGTCAATTTTAAAGTTCATAGTACCATAATATTTTTTTTATTAAAAAACTTCAGGGGTTAAATTATATATTAATCCATTAAAAATATATAATTTGAAATGTATTTTGATTTATACCCAGCAGCCTCCTAGGACACAAGTTTGTTTTGCTCTTAAGATGAACTATATCCAATTTCTTGGAATGTCCTATCATTACTAAAAAAAGTTTATAACACCCTCACTCAAGGAAAGAAGGAGACCAATGATAGAGTGAAAAAAAAAGCCAAAAATACCAAGAGCAAGATTTATATTGCTCTAATAATCAAACATGCTTTCATCTCTCTAACATTTTGTCAAGCACTTTTATAGCAATAAGCATGACAATTGGGATTACAGTTGCCTAGATCGGATTTACAGGCACATTCATAGACTAAACCAATAAAATCAAATATTTTTTAAATATCATTTTCATTTTATTTTTTTTATTCCAATATATGATGAGAAATATTCTTGTTTCAATAAAATTTTATTTTTTATTATTTTGATTCATGAATGGACTCATAAATTTGATGTAGGCAAGTCAATCCAAAACATTGCCTAATGAATATGATAATTATAATAAAAAAAATAGACCTCTTATTACTCAAATCAACACTACAAGAATATACGAGTTCTTGTTGTGTCCAACATTAAATAACTCGTGACAATCCCATCATAAAGCTAACATTTTGTTAAAAAATAATAATACTTGTTAATAACTTTGTTAAGTTTTTTAGTGTTCAGTATATGTACGGCTTGGCAATAGATTCAGATTTAAATCTTCCTCCCCAATACTCCTGTTAATAATTATATTCCAATATTTTAATTAAATTTTAAATATTTAATCACCCAATTTTAAAATATTATTCTAAGCATTGAATTTGGTTAAATTCCTTAAACCAATGGAATTAAAATCATTGATTCAGTCCGATTTGACTAAATTTTTTAACATTTATTTCAATTTTGAATTAAGAAAAAATTTTTTGGATTTAATTTAATTTTTATTATATAGAAATTAGAAAACTTAAAAATAAAATCATGTCTTACTTAAGAATTTAGTTTATTTAGTTTGTCCGAATTCAATTGAAATCCCAAATAAACTCTATTTTAGGTTAAATAAAGTGCTACATGGTTGGATAGTAGAAATATATTGAATTTTCTAGCTGAATTTTATTTGCAAAATCCAAGCTGCGAGCATTATTCAGTCAATTTGAGTAACATTCTTTTTTAAGAAAAATCAAACTAGATTTTTATTAATTAAAAACTGTATATAGATATGAGATATAGATCAATATGTTTCTATATTTTTGTATAGGAAGCCTAATAATAAATCACTTATACAAAGAATAAAAAAACACAAATAATAAATCACTTATACAAAGATAAAAAAACGAGACAATCTTGATTTAGAAGTATCTCACATCGAGTTGACAGACGATATAGATCAATATGTTTCTATATTTTTGTATAGGAAGCCTAATAATAAATCACTTATACAAAGAATAAAAAAACACAATCTTGATTTAAAGTATCTCATCGAGTTGACAGAGCATAATATTTGGGCTATAAGCAATTGCTTGCTCCACTTGGTGGCTGCTATTCATAGCCACTGTTTGACTCCATAGTCTTTCTACAAGTCCGAGCTGATTACCTTTAAATTTTTTTCCTTTTTCCTTCTATTGGAGAGAAGATCTGCACTTCTTTCTGCATAACTATTAAAATAATAAAAGACGCAACCATAATAGTCATAACAATAACTCAAAATTAAATCTGAGGACAAAATCTCAATATATGGGCAACAATAAACCCCAATATGTGGGCTACAATAAGGCAGATCTGTAAACAGATCTGAGAATTATTTGCAAAAAAACTAAACAAAAAAAAAAAGAAATGGGTGACTATCGGTGGCCGATGGTGGGAGAAAGAGGAAAAATGTTATAGGTTCTCAGAGAAAGAGGGAGAATATGTGATGCCATTAAGTCATCTTAACTCAAGTTTAGTTGTGGATTTCTTTTTTTAAAATTAATTTGAGTAAAATTTTTAATCGAACTGAATTAGTCAATTTATTTTTACTTAATCAAATTAATCATTTAACTAAATTTTATTGAACCATTTGGCCGAATTAATTTTAGTTATTAATCGACTGAAGTTAAAGAAAACAAAAACCTATTTAACTAATCGCAATTTATTAACCTGAACTTATTTATGATAACTTATTTAAGATACAAATTTGATTAAGACTAAAATCTATTTAATTTTATTATTTGTTTAATTAGAATAATGTAGTTTTTTGTGTCAGCTAATTTGATTTTTGTTTGATTAATTTCTAAGCGAATCTTTAATTGATAATCAGAAATTCAATTTTTCTTTAATCAAATTATTAATCAAATATTTATTCACTAAATTGAATTAATAAAATTGACTGAATTAATCTATTAATCAAATTTTAAAATTGAAAATGAATTTTTAATCTGATACCACCTTATCTGCCCTTATGTCCCCACCTTTCGGTATTTGATCTACAGCAAATCCCTTAATATTAAGAGTTTGAAATGGATTCCAACCACTTGCCTTATCCGCTCCCGGTTCACCGTACACGGCTTTCCTATCCTTGGTTGACCAACGAGCGTCTGTGGAAGTAACAGTCCGACTATTCGCCCTCATCCAAGCACCATATGCGAACTGTTCCTTAGCAATCCTTGGTGTCAAGAACAATTTGTGACAATACCGGTCAGAATGTCCAAGCAGTCCATAGAAAAAATAAAATTTAAATAGTCGCTTAGATAAGGGGAAAGAGAAGGTGCGGAGTACCGTGAATGGAAGAGACGTTATGGAGGTAGAACATATAGAAAGTAATAATGATCCGGATGGCTTAATTATCGCGGATCATAAAAGAAGACGTCAGGATCTTGATGGGTCAATTGTTGTTTTTGATAACCAGGAGTGTGATGAGCCAAAAAACAAACATGGGGCGAGCCTCGGTTCCCAGGCCTGCCAGTCGTCATGAGTTCCTTGTCTTGGAACTGTCATGGGCTTGGGAACCCACGAACAGTTTCTGAACTAATAGAGCTGGTTCAGCTAAAGAGACCCAATCTGGTTTTTCTGATGGAAACAAAATACGGCTTTGTTAAGTTGGATCGTATAAAGCAGCGTCTGGGTTTTGAGGGTTTATTTGTTGTTGGCCCAGAAGGCATGAGGGGTGGGTTAGCCCTAATGTGCAAGGAGGGACGTATGTGTTCTTTTCTCGGTTATAGTCAAAACTTTATTGACGTCCAGGTGCATGTTCCTGGTATCCCTCAGTTCCGTTTCACTGGTTTTTATGGATGTCCGAAGCATAGTAGACGGCGGCATTCATGGAATATGCTTTTGGCTTTAAAGCGGAGGTCGACACTTCGGTGGTGTATCGCAGGTGATTTCAATGACATACTGTCGTCTTATGGTGATAAGCCGGGACATATTCACCAAACTGACTGGTTAATTAATGGGTTAGGAGGACGGTGGAGGACTGTGGTTTACATGATATTGGCTATATTGGCCACAGATATACATGGGAACGTGGTAGGGGCACACTGGAGTGGGTACAGGAGCGGCTCGATTGGGCTTTAGTGTCTGCACATTGGCATGATTCTTTTCGGGATGCAAAGTTGTATAATCTTCAAGTTGTACACAACGATCACATGGCTATTTATCTCTCACTTGGTGTTATGACCTTTCACTATGCCCCTAGAGTATTTCGATTTCGAAAACTCTTGGTTGAAAGAAGTTGATGTCACGAACGCAGTGCAAGAAGCATGGAATATTAGCCAGAATGATAGTCTTGTAGTACGGTTGTTATTTGGAGCAGTGAGGTCAGAAGAAAAAGAGGCAGTTCACAGAAAAATTGAAATGCAGTAGGCGGCAGATGGCAAGGTACCGTAACAGCACTAGCCCAAATACATGCAGTAGTTTTGGCTTGCTAAAGAAGCTTATATGCAGATTCTGCACCAAAGAGACCTTTATTAGTGCCAGCGTGGAAAGCAGAATTAGTAACAAGGGGGAGATAGAAATACTCGTTTTTTTCATGTGATGGCCTCTTCACGACGTAAGAAGAATTTGATATAGCAGCTGTAAGGGTGATAATGGCGAGTGGGTTTCATGGGATAATGGTTTAGGGGAGTTACTTGTGAATTTTTATTCAGATTTATTTTGTTCCACGCAAGGTGACATGGATAATATTCTGGAAACGGTTCACACCCGGCTTACAGATGATATGAAGGATATGCTTGATCGCCCTTTTAGACCTGATGAAGTTAAGGGTGCTGTGTTTAGTATGCACTCCGATAAGGCTCTGGGACCAGATGGATTGAACCCAGGCTTTTTCAGATCTTTTTGGTCAATTATCAGTACTGATATTACTGATGCTATTTTACATTCCCTTAATTCTAATGGTCCAACACCTAGCAGTAATGAAACCAACATTATCTTAATTCCAAAAAAATAAAGGAGCCTGAGTTGGTTTCTGATCTTCGACCAATATCATTATGTAATGTTACTGACCGGATCGCGTCTAAGGTCCTAGCTAACTGATTACGGTTATGCTTGCACTCTGTAGTTTCTCCTGCGCAAAGTGCCTTTATACCAGGTCGGTATATTACTGACAATGTCATGATTGCGTTTGAAGTGCATCATTTTATGAAGCGTAAAAGGCAAAAAAAGGAAACGTGGGTTGCTTTCAAAACGGATATATGAGTAAAGCCTATGACAGAGTTGAGTGGTTATTTCTGGCTGCCATGATGGAGAAAATGGGTTTTAGTGAAGCTTGGATATCGAAGATTATGAAGATGGTGTCTACAGTGTCTTATCATATTTGTCATGCAGGTCGGCGATTTGGTCCTGTTATTCCCACCCGAGGCTTGCGGCAAGGCGATGCATTGTCACTATATCTCTTCCTTATAATTGCAAAGGGATGTGTGGATGGCGACATCAGTGGGGTGGTGGGCTTCAGTTAATAGCGTTGCAGATTGGTTTGAGATTGTCATGACCCATTGTATTTCTAGTCAGTTGGAGGAAGCTTGCATTACGGCATGGCATTTATGGAATGCGCAAAACAAGCTGCTTTGGGAACAACAAACAACTGATGCGCATAGTCTAGTTCGGGCAGCGCAATGTTTTCTTTATGCATAGCAAGCTGCGAACGAGGGTACTGGTAGCATTCAGTCATCGACAACAAATAACCAGCTGAGAAGTTGGGAACCATCGGTGGACGGGTTAAAGTGTAATGTTGATGCGAGTTTCAACTTGTCTGACGGTATAGCGGGAGTAGGTTGGCTGGTCAGGGATAATTGTGGTCGTTGTGTTGGTGGCAAGTTCCAGAGGTTGGGTCGGGTTGCAGGGTCATGAAGATTAAAGCAGCCAGTATAAAGTTAAATTCATTTATGAAAGAAGAGCCCACTTGAAAGCTACCTCTGTGTTCTTTTTATTTCTCTCTTGGTTCTGTTCAAGCTATTATGATTACTTATACATAATTAGTCACAGTCCTAACAGATGAGGAGTGTGCTACATAATAAGTCACAGTCCTAACAGATTGAGAAGTGTGCGTAGGTGAGAGGCTATTCTAACGGAGTTAAGGAAGAGCTATTCCCTAAAGTTAACAGGCATTACAATACAAAAATGCATAGTTGCCTGACACATCAATATCCGTTAACCCCCTCAAGCTTGAGTTGGTGGAAATCAAACCTAACCAAAGCTTGAGAACAAAAAATCACGATATGAAAAGAAATGGCAAAGACTTAGTAAACATATCAAGCCAGCTGCATTGTAGAAGGAAGAAAACGCGAGGTGGCTAAAGGAACCCAAGCTTGAATTTGATTCCGAACCACAATGACAATCAATGTCAATGTCTTGGTGCGTTCATGAAAACCGGATTTTTGCAGGCTATATGAATGCCCCTTATTATCCCAATGAAGAGGAATAGGAATAGGTCGATGAACAGGAACATGAAAATCAGTCAATAAGGAAGATAACCACTGAATCTCGCAAACCGTAGTAGCCATGGCTCTATATTCCGATTCAGCAGAGGATCGACTAACCGTAGACTGCTTTTTAGTCTTCCAAGAAACCAAGGAAGTGCCAAGAAAAATACAATAACCAGTAACTGAGCGGCGAGAATCTGTACAAGATGCCCAGTCAGCATCAGAAAAAGCTCAAAGCTTTAAATCATTTGTAGCGGGTAAAAACAAACCAAGATAACTAGTACCCTTCAGGTAGCGCACAACTGTAAGAGCTGCTTTGAGATGTTGAGTATGCGGAACCTGCATGTATTGACTGAGTTGCTGGACTGCATAACTTATCAAGGTCGGGTCATAGACAATATAAAAGTAACCGGGGACCAACACCGCCTATAAACTTTCTACGTGCAAATGGGTTCCCATATCTGCTGTTACTTACCCTTGTAAATATAGGCCTAGCTGCATCTTGGCATCTTGTCAAGCCATATCAAAACAATATCAGAGATAACTTATGTTTGGAGTTTAACATAATACCAGCGGTCTGTTACGTGCCCACTTCAATGCCAAAAAAATATCTAATATCACCCAATCTCTTAACAGAAGTTTCTTTTTGTATCTAAATAATGCTTCAGATCAGAAATAAGTGTAACAGATGGACCTAGTTATCAAGACAATCATCGACAATAAACCAGCAAGGCAATAAAAGTTTCCCCAGTACCTTTCGTGAAAAGAAACAATGATCAGAAGCGATTGCTTGAATCCCTGGGATAATAAAACTCGAAGTTTAATTCTTTATTCCAGTTTTTTTTTATTTTTTTTTTTTTTTTTTTTCTTTTTTTTCTGTCCTACCAGCTTGGCTTTATACCCGTAAAGTGATTCCACTGTCTACCAGCTTGCTTTAACTAAAGTGAGCGCTGCAATTTGCAAACTTGCCCTGTTTCAGCTTTATCATAACTAGGAGGAACTTGCATATAAATATCCTCATCAATGAAACCATGTAAATAAGCATTATTAATATCAAGTTGCTTGACAGACCAAGAAAAAGCGGCGGCCACAGTTAAGAAAACCCTTACAGTAACAAGCTTGGCAAACGGAGAAAAAGTCTGATTATAATCCAGGCCCAGTAACTGATTGTACCCTTTGGCGACGAGCCTTGCTTTATATCTGTCAACACTTCCATCTGCATTATATTTAACCTTGTAGACCCACTTACAACCAACAGGTTTAGTATTAAGAGGCAAAGCAGTTAATGTCCAAGTATTATTTTGTTCCATATTTTGTTCCAAAAGCAGTTAAATTCATTGCACGCATAGCATTCACCCAATCACCCAATTATTTTTTAGCATAATTATAATTGCAAGGTTCTTTAATTTTTTGAATAATTGTGCAACAAAGGTTATATGAGAAGAGGAAAATTTGACACGAGAAATTGGTAGTGGGATTAGTAACATAATCATCAAACCAAGCAGGTGTTTTGTAACCCTTGTACTACGCGAGCTGGCGGTAAAACACAGGAACCTGTAAATGGCAGCTCAGTATATTATCCACAGGAAGGTCATTAAATCCAAAGGCAAATCTTGGAGTTTCAATTCAATGGAAGAGAATAAAGGGTCTGTACGAGGTTCAGAAACTGGTGTAGGTGAATTTAATGGAAGTGGTGGAGATGTATAATCAGCA